ACCATCGAAGTGCTAGAAGTCTGCGTACCTGGAATACCGAGGGTGATGAATTCGGGAACGTGAGCGACTGCGTCGCGCCACTGACTCGCGGCCGACGTGTCGGTGGGCCACCACGACTTGTACACTGGGCGCCGCGCCAAGTAGAGGAGTGCCAGGATCGGCATCGAAGCAGTACACCAGACCCGAGCATACGCAGCTCCGAGGAATCCTAATACAGCCGTCGATACGATGCCATTGATGACGCTACATGCACGTACCAATGTCGGTGACGTAGCAGAGGTAATAACCGACAGCGACAAAGATAAAGTTGCTGAGGACCGCAATGTAGACCATGGGCGACACGATCTCCTGGGCCTGGAGTACCTTCTTGAGAAGCTCGTAGACAAAGATGAGTGGCAGCGAGAAGATGGTGATGCAGGAAAAGTCGCCCGCGAGCGTCGCGACCATCGGGTCCTGTCCCAAGGCTTCGAGAAAGTACGTCGTGTGCCAATTCAGCACCAGCATCGGCACGTACGCCAGCCTACAAGGACGTGAGTTGGAGATATTGTCGTATGCAGCTCGTACAGGAGAACAACGAGGCCGCTTTGGAGGTACATGCCGAGAAGGTGCTCCTTGCCGGCACCGACGCACTGTGAGCAGAGTGTGTCCATGGCCGTTGTGAGGCCGACGCCGATCGAGAGGCCGCAGACGTTGAAGAAGACAGTCGACATGGTGGCAGCGTCCACAAACTCTTTGGTGTGCGGCGAGTTCATGTGTCCCACGAGCACGATGGAGAGGAAACCCGGCAAGATCTCGAGCAAGAAGGTCGCAAACTATTGAATCATGGTCAATCAAGGAAGTTGTCGTGTGGTGCACACCATAGGGCCAGCCAAGTGGAGGAGAGCGAGGATCTCAGTGCGCGGATTCATCGGCGTCTCGATGGTGAGAGCTGCCTCGACGTCGCTGTCGGTCGGTGTGCGGGGTGGTAGCAAGGATGTCGCTTCGCTTGTCATGGTCAAAATTGCAAGTGGCAACGACCAACGTTTTTCTCCAAGTGGGTGTGTTTTTAAATTGTCTTTTTGTACTGCAGCGTTGTATGCAATTAAATGCCCCAATGGAGCATGTGTTGGGAAAAAACACTGGATGTAGGGTCGTACAGTGGATGCCGCGATGGCACGCTTGGATTATGGACATGGAATTGGTGCCGTGGTCTGACCGCAATCAAAGAAATGACAGCTTCGTGGCACAGGAGGCGAACATTCCGTTGGCCGCCAGTTAGCTGGAGTAGCATAGTTGTATGGAAACGTTGACGATGGCCTATGCATGCGCAGCAGCCAAGAAGACATGCAATGCGTGCAATGCGTGACCGACAAAGTCGCAGACCCCACTGCAAACGCACTGCGAAGTTCTTAACGTGAACGCCTGCAGCGTGCACTCGAGGAGCTATTGCGATTCGGATAAAGTATACGTCAGTGCGAGGCTATGAAAGTGACGCAAAAGCTGCATGATTTACCCCGTAAGTAGCGCTGCGAGTCGCGATCGCTTGCTTCAAGGTATTGCATGCTCAAACCGTAGGTTATGGAGGTTAGTGGCTCGTGATTTTTGTCTGCGTGTATTCACCCTTCGGGGCTTCGCTTCATTCGATGCTTGACTTTGCGGTGACGAGACTGGAAGGTGGTCCGCCACTGTCGACGGTCGTAAAATCAGACACGAGATCCGTCGATACTCAATACAGGTGGCGTCGTGGGCTATACACGATAACAACAGTGTATGTAAGAAGTTAGCAAAGGTGTTAATCACAACAAGGAATATTAATATATCCTAGTATCATGCAACTATGGACAGGCGGCGCCTCTTTTTATCGCCGCGCAAAGTACTTTTTGGCATACGACATGCTGTTGTGGTCCGTATTGGCGCCGCGGTTGCCGTTGTTCTTGCTGTTGGTGATGTAGCTGCTGCTGGTACTGTCGCGTTTCCGCTTTTGGTTGCGCTTCGGGGTCGGTGGCGACGCTTCCGCCTCAACAAACCTAGGATAAGAATATATAAGCAAATGTCAGGTATCGAAACAGTGTACCGCTGATGCCGGCTGCGCTGCTTGAGCGGACACTTGGCCGCGATGTGCCCAACCTCGCCGCATTCGTAGCACGTCACGTCAGATGTCCGCTTGTTGTTGCTCGATGCCGACGATTGGCGGTACGACGCACTGTACTCGCGCCGCGAGTCGTAGTTTTCATCGCACTCTTCAAAGAAGTGGGCTCCTGCGCACTTGGGGCAGTAGATGCGTCGGTTGGTTGGGCGCGGGAAAGGGACGCAGTGCTAAGTCGCTCAGTGAGCCATCGACACTTCGAAAAGAGGATTGTACCAAGTGGCCGGGCTCAAAGCACACCATGCAGCTCACATCCTTGTAGTCATCGTTGCCGACCGTGCACGTCTCGGTGTAGTGGTCACGGCCACACTTGCGGCAGTAGTTGAGGTCTTGGCGCCGGCTCGAGCAGTTCTACAATCGAAGTATTTGTGACCGAGAAGTAAAACAGGATTGGCGGTGTACGCGGGATTCGTGGCCGGGTTGGTTGCAGCGGTAGCAGAGTACGGCGGGGCATGTGCCTGCCTGGTGGTCACGATACCCGCACAGGAAGCACGGCCGCATGACCATTTGGTTGACGCAGTCTCTCGACATGTGGCCGATTTCGTTGCAATTGAAGCACTTGGTCGCGAGGTCCTTCTTGAAGTACCGGCTCTCGCGCCGGGGCTTAATGAGCTTGTCGTCGTCGAGCTTGGCCTTCTTAGCCGGGCGCTCCTTCGTCGCTTCGATCGAGGCCACCGGACGGCCAATGCGCAGCGCGTCAATATCGGGCTCGCCATCCGAGACCGCGTCCACGTCGCTCGATTCGTCGTCCGCAACGTCCGTCGCACCACGGAAACGCGTCGTAAAGTCCGAGAGGATGAAGTCGTTCATGGGCTCCAGCTCTGGCTCCTCAATGATCGGCGCCACCGGACGGGGCTGCAGGAAGCGGCTCGCCCATTTTGAGAGCTGGATAGTTGGCTTGGTGGCCACCTTGGTTGGCAGCGGCTCGTCATTGTCGTCTGACAGATCCGAGAGATCGATGGCATTGCCACGGTCCTTGCCACGAGCGACGGCGACGTTTGGCAGCGGCTCATCCGTGAGCTCCGAGTCCGATGCGTCGGCCGACTGCTGCTTGCGCGGGACCTTGGTCCCGAGGTCACGTTTGCGGTGGGCCTTGGGGTTGGACATGTCGAAGCACTCGCCTTCTTCTTCTTCGCTCGACGACTGCTGCGCCACGAGGTACTCGTCTTCGTCCGAGACGTCCGAGAGCGACAACCGGCGCGTCCTGCTGCTCATGCTCGTGCAAACCAATGAAACACCTAAAGAGAGTCGTTGAAACCTCTCTATTTTAATACAAATTGTATCCGATGTCGGAGGTGTAAAAGCCCGCCAAATTCAGCGACTCGTTAAGATCGCAACCCTTTACCACAGGAGCGTGGTCAAGCATTCCGATTCTTGCGAGCTTTCCTGTCCGTCCTAAAAAGACGCAGATAAAACCCAAATAGTTCGCAATATGTCGGTGGTGCAGGAAACATCGACATTCCAAGATTGGTGGCCAACAGCATTATGCTCTTCTGTGCTGAATGACACCAACAAGGTCATAGCACCAAGCTCATCTCGGCATATGCCATGACAAGTACATGTAGTTGTAAACTCCATTCCCATAGATCAGAGATAACGAACCCGTGGTGTAGTTGGCGGTCATTCTTGGCTTCTGTGCGAGTTTGAGGTTGACCAAACACACGCAGCGGGACGAAGCAACACGACATCTGCTCACAACAACTCGAGTATTGGCGCTCAAATATATGATTGGCACTGTTGATATCCCATGCCAATCCCGATACTGCTCTGGAGCAGCTCGTGAGTGCGTGAACACTTGCGAGGTGTGCTGCTTTTAGCGCGGAAAACCTCTTAGAATGCATACTCCGAATGATAAAAAGATAAAACTGCCGCCAAATACAACGGGTCATAATTTTCGATTCGTGTGCAGAACCACAGGACGCGGCAAGATGGGGATCAAAGGTCTCATGAAGCTCCTTACGGACGAGGCGCCGAGCTGCGTCAAGGAGATGCAGATGTCCCAGCTCTCGGGGCGCAGCGTGGCCATCGATGCGAGCATGGCGCTCTACCAGTTTCTCATCGCCGTGCGCAGCACCGGCGACGGCGGCGGCGCGGCGCAGCTCACCAACGAAGCCGGCGAGGTCACGTCGCACATCCAAGGCATGTTCAACCGAACGATTCGTCTCATGGAGCACGGTGTCAAGCCCGTTTACGTCTTTGACGGAAAGCCGCCTGTCATGAAGAGCGGCGAGCTCGCCAAGCGCACTGAGCGGCGCCAAGAGGCCCAAGGTGCGCCCAGTCTCGTCTAATGGCACGAAGCTCATGCATGAAAAGCAAACCTGAAGACGGCTACCGAAGAAGGCAACCAAGACGATATTGACAAGTTCACGAAACGCCTCGTCCGTGCCACGCCCCAACACAGCGAAGACTGCAAAGAGCTCCTCGGGTACGACGATCACGCGCTTCTTCTGTTGATGGCTCATGGTGTATTCTCTGGATTGGTAGACTCATGGGCGTTCCGTTCATCACGGCACCGTGCGAAGCTGAGGCCACGTGCGCGGCCTTGGCCAAGGCGAAGAAAGTATTTGCCGCCGGTACGGAAGATATGGACGTCGTCACGTTCGGCACGCCCGTGCTCTTCCGCCGCTTGACGATCGCCGCGAGCCGGAAGCTCCCGATCTTGGAAATCCGGCTGGAGAAGGTGCTTGAGGAGCTCAACTTGACGTACGACCAGGTATCTCCTCGCCTAACTTCGTCGACCCTTCCTCACACGGATGCCTCTGTAGTTTGTCGATCTCTGCATCCTCTGCGGTTGCGACTATTGCGATACGATCTTTGGCATTGGCCCCAAGAAGGCGCTGAACGCGATCAAGGAACACAAGACGATCGAAAACTTCATCGCGCACCTCGAGAAGCACCCGAGCAAGGGCGTACGCACCTCATTAATAACCTCTCTTGCCGCATATCTCACCCGTGCGTTTAGGTGACAGTGCCGCAGGACTGGCTCGGCGAAGACGCTATCTACAAGCAGGCGCGCGGCATGTTTATCGAAGCCGAGGTGGCCGATGTGTCCGAGATCGACTTCAAGTGGAAGGATCCGAGCGTTGATGAGCTCCGTGCGTTTCTCGTCGAGAAGCACGGCTTCAACGCCGAGCGCGTCCTGAACGGCATTGAGAAGCTCAAGAAGGCCAAGACGTCGCACTCGCAACAGCGCCTCGAGAGCTTCTTCACGGTGCTGCCATCGGCAGGCGCCAAGCGGAAAACGACCGACGACAAGAAGGGCAAGGGCAAGGCTGCGCCGGCCAAAGGTGCGCCGTCCAAGCGCGGCCGCAAAAAGTAGAGCCCTGCGTTATGTAACTTTTCTACTACGTTCCCGCTTCGGATTCATGCCACGACCTCGCGTTGTGCAAGGAATCGCAGCCGACGAGGAACCCGTCGCGCAACGAGGAATGCATCCAAGGTACCACTTGGTCGCCTGCTTATAATGCGCAACCGTCACGTCCCTCGTCTCGAGATTCATCGGCTGCTGGCGATGCAGCGATGGCTTCGAGCTTGCATTGTTGAGGCCAACGCTTGGGTGGCATGGCCTCGAAGAGGTCGGCCTTAGAAATCGGCTGTTAATACGCATACAAAGGCCTTATTTCACTCTAATCAGGTGGAAAATTCCTTTTTAGAGCACAAGAGAAGGATAAATATCCAGATTCAAGAATGAAACCAGGTTTTTTGATGTGCAGCCACGCGCCCGAGCTCTCGCACCACATGGTTTGGCGGTCTGTGAATTGACACGCATGCTCCCACGGGGTCAGGGTTGAAGTTGAGTGTGCGGTCGAATTGCACAGCCTGGGAGGAGTCCCCTTGTCGTCGATGTTATAGTCGTCTGGTTGCGCCGAATAATGGCGCTGGATTAGCACCTGCTGAGGAGTCTGAGAGCCACTGCTTGGAGGTACGAAGCCGGATCGAACAGTACCCGACTGGATCGTCATGCAAATTACGGCTTGCATACAAACATCAAATGAGGCCACGTCGTCGACTGCGCCATGCGGTAGACTCCAACTGGTTCGAATCCCACGCTTTCTGTGGCTTGGCTACGCTTTCTGCGGCGTTCCGTCGCAGTCGTCGAGGCGTTTGCAGCGAATCTCGCTCATGCGTAATGGCTGACGGCCATCCAACTTGGTCAGCCGCGTGCATTCACTTTTCAACTTTCCAAGTACGAGCAACTAACTACCATGTCCAAGACGGCGATTATGGCGATGACGCTGGTGCAAACGGCGGTCGCGATCGACTACCTCGGCGGCTGGGTCGAGCCCGCACACCAGCAGTGCGTGGACATTTGCAAGAACTCCAAGGCGGCGCCGGGCTGCTTTGGCCCGCCCAGCGATGCGTGCTATCAGAAGCTCCAGCGCCCCGGTGACTTTGACTACCTCCTCTTCGACCAGATCTACCAGCCGCAGTTCTGCCGCGATCTTCTCAACGGTGTCGACTCGACCATCACGCACCAGAACGTCAACAAGTACCCGGTCGGCATCAACTGCCACAAGGTTGACGTCAAGAGCGAACTCATGATCCACGGTCTCTGGCCCAACTATGTGAACGGGTACCCGGGCTGCTGCAACGTCTCGGACACGATCGTGAACCGCCCGTTTGACGCGTCCAAGTTTGCGACCAAGTACCCCAAGCTCTTTGCCGATATGGCGTCCGTGTGGGTCGACCCCGCGATCGGCAACTCGACCGAGCAGCTCTGCCAGGGCTACAACCACGAGTTCCAGAAGCACGGCATCTGCTTTGGCGCGTTCGGCGACGACTACGACCTCGCCTCCAAGCAGTACTTTGAGGCTACGTTGGACGTCAACACGCGCCTTGTCAAGCAGACCAAGCAGATCGCCGACTGGGCCGCGACGCCCGAGAAGAAGACGACGATCGCGGACATTGCGGCCTTGTACCCGAAGAACGTCAACATTTTGTGCTCCAAGGTCGCTGGCGAGACGCCCAACCGCCTCGTCGCCATCCGCACGTGCTTCGCCAAGGCCAAGGACAACTGCGACAGCGACAAGCTCCTCCTCGCGGGTGACTTTATGGACTGCTTTGGCAACGTCACGACAACGTGCGATGCGACCAAGCCCATCGATTTGGCCGCGTACGTCAAGCCGTCCCCGTAACTCAATCCAACGGCTCTAGCCTCGACGTTGAGATATGTATTTCAAACTACACCACACGTCCAGAGCTACACGACCTATTTGATCTACCCACAGTGTACTACGGTCGCGAGGTCCGTACTCCGTGCTCTTCACAGTAGGTCGTATTGGCGGTTGACGACGCCAGCAATCGCAAATACTGCAACGCCCGAAGACCTCTATGGTGATGGCGCGTACTTTCTGTGGTCCTGAATCGTGCAGCTATCTTTGGGGCAAGCGTTTTCCCGTTGCTTCTCTCCTATTTCGATCGAGCGATGGAAGTCCCAGTAGCCGCGCCTCTGCAGCTGCCGCCCGCGCCGACGGCCATGGAGGCCCGACCCATCGCGTCCATCGTGCAGAACGGGTCCATCGACATGCAGAGTTTGATGCTCTCGCTCTGGCAGCGACGCAAGGACACGGCGTATACAAGCGCCGTCTGCGAAGAGCTTCGGTCGCTCAAGCAGGCGCGGCCGATGCTGGACCAAGTGGACTTTTACCTGCCGCAGGTACAACTCCGTTTTGCAGGCGGGCGCATGGAACAATCGAGGTAGCTGGCGCACATGGTGCTTCACCTCGAGAAGGAGCTGCCGATGGATGCGATGGAGCAGTTTGTGCTGCTTCTGAGCTTGAGCAGCACGCATTTTGCGCTCCAGTTCTTCTGGATCGTCTACGCCGCGCTCGACGAGCACCGGCCCAAGCGAAATGGCAACCCGCGCACGTTTACTCGCTGCGCGCAGCTGCTCGTGATCCTTGAACAGTGCCTCGTGTACGGATCGCCGGCGAGCAAACCCGCGCAGGTTCGTATCACGCTAAGAAGACCATGACGCGACGAGAAGCGAAACTAGGAGCTTTTGGCCCAAAAACACATTTCCAAGATGGAGATGGACGTCATTCTCCAGGCGGACCGGCGCTTCTTTGCAGCTCAAAGTAGCGCGGCCATCTCGACGCAAGACGAGACCGCGGAAGGGTACGAATTTGCTCGTCTCGTCGATGTCTCATTCCTATGTTGGTAGCTGGCTCTTCAAAAAGGGGGGTGGTACGACAACGCTGGGTCGCCGCAGTTGGCACCGCCGCTGGTGCCGCATAGAGCGCAAGATCCTCTTTGTCTACAACCAACGCATGGACATGCATGCCCGCAACGCGATTCCACTTGAACGCGCGACGATCCGGGTGCTCGACAACCCAAAGCACCCATTCTACTTTGAGATTCACCACAGCTACAGCGACACGACCTTCAAGGTGACCGAGGCCTTGGAAGCACATTTGAATTTGGATTGCCGTGTAGTTTGCGGCCAGCGACGAAGACAATTTGTCATCGTGGGTTGAGAGCTTGGGTGTCGCTGCGGCCCCGCCCGCACCCCCGTCGTCGTCGCCCACCAAAGCTGGCCCCGGGCGTGCCATCACGCGCATGTCCCAAGCAATGCGGCAGTTCATTCTCAACGACGACGCTGCCTCCAAGGAGCACGAAGTGTCGTCGGCCGCGCGTGTCGAAGACGAAGCGGATTCGATTCCACGGTCGGGGTCGGTCTCGTCGACGCAGTCGTCGTCGCACGTGCCAGCGCTCTCGGACGAGCAGCAGCAGCGCTACGACTTTTTCACCGACCAAATCAACTTTGTCAAAGCCATCACCGATATCTGCGAAGAGCTCCGTCTCGTGGAGGTGTCGGAACGCAAGACGCTGCTTCCAACGAAGCTCCAAACCCTCCAAGCGCGCTTACCAGCGTTCGCGTACCTTCCGCTGTGCCGATCGACCGAGGTACACAACTGCCTCTTTTGACGTGACTTTGGATAAAGGCGTAGCTCTTTGCCCGCGTCACTTCCGTGTGCGTCAACGATGGCTATGTTTTCAAGACCCACGTACGCGCCCACTGTACGTGCATCAAATGACATTTTGGAGCGAATAGGAGCGCGCGCCGTGCTTGATGCACTTTCTCTCCGAGCCAAGCGCAGCCCTGTACGACGTTTCAAGTGCGCTCTACGTCCATTTGTACAGCGACGAGGCCGACGCGAGTGACGTTGTCGCCTGCGTCGCGGCGCCGCGAGTCGGCCAAAACACATTTGTCGAGCAACTTCTCGAGGTTTTGTCTCCATTTGTTCTTCTTTCTGCCTTGTCACAACCGCTGTCCAGGACGACCACCGGCGCGCGCAGCTCACGACCATCTTTGGCGAGCTCAAGGAGGCCAAGACCACGCGACTGGCATCCGAGGGCGTGTGCTTGCAATCGCTGATCGCCAAGGTGCGTGTGTTATTCGTGGCGAGATATGGAAATGCAATGTGGGCGCTAGAGCTATGACGACTTGCGCCAGGAAGTGCTCGTGATGCAGCTCATTTCGTACATTGACGACGTTTTCAAGAAAGCCGCGCTGCCTCTGCGCCTGCATCCCTATCGCATTCTATCGACCGGCGCAAGCACGGGCCTCATCGAGGTCGTGTCCAACGCCACGTCGCTCGACGGACTCAAAAAGTCGACGGGGTTCACGACGCTCCGTGCGTACTTTGAGAGCATCTACGGCGGTGCGACAGTCACCCTCTGTTGTCTCGAGCTCAAGAACGAAATTAGATCCCTCCGGCACCCTCTTTCAACAAGCCATGACCAACTACATGCAGAGCCTCGGTACGACCCATACTTTCCTGCCTTTCGATAGCCATATAACTGCGTAGCGGCCTACTCGATGGTCTGCTACGTGCTCTGCATCAAGGACCGGCACAACGGCAACATTCTCCTCGACATTGAAGGACACATTGTCCACATCGACTTTGGTTTTTGTACGTTGTCTATGGATGAAGTATGATACACTATTCACATGGTGCTAGTTTTGGGGCGTGCACCTGGAGGCACGTTCAGCTTTGAGACCGCGCCGTTCAAGCTCACGGCCGAGATGGTCGACTGCTTTGGCGGCAAAGACTCTGCGAATTACGCGCACTTTATCGAGCTCTGCGCGACGGCGGCGCAAGCGATTCGCCAACACGCGTCCATTCTGTACACGATGGTGGACGTGATGAGCTTCAACTCGAAGCTGCCGTGCTTTCAAAGTACTGCGATCCATAGACAAGAAGCTGTCACGGACGATATATGTCTTCTTTGTAGACAACGTGCCGCACGTTCTGCAGTCGTTCAAGGAGCGCCTCTTCCTTACGACGGCCGATGACAAGGTCCCGGGTCTCGTGCGCGGCCTCGTGGAGAAGGCGTACGCCCATTTTGGCACGACCAAGTACGACCAGTTCCAAGAGTACTCGAACGGGATTCACAAGTAGAATCTGTTTGTCTACCTCTACATACACAATGACGATGCATGCAATGATCGATAACAGTGTATTACTCACTGCTTCCAGTGCAGGCATTGGCGTCGAGAGGCGTTATATGGGCTCATATTACGCAGTGTCCTCGCAGTGTCGGGTAGTAGGGTGGGCAGAAGCAAGTGTGAGCACTTCCTCTGTACAACGTCGCTACGTAAAGTTGCATAGCAGCCATCGCAGAAATCAACCAAATTGATACTGGTTTGGTAGTTTAGTCAAGCGATTGGCAGCTCTAAACAGTAAGTGCATTTTGCACAGGATATATTCGAATGAGCTCAAGTGACACTAGTACAACGCCACAAAGTAGAATACGACGATCCACACTAAGCTTGTGATCGCATCGCGATGGGCGCTGGGGCTCGCTGCTGTGGCCAGCAAAAGGAGCGAGTCGTCCACATCCAAGCACGTCCCGTTCGCTGCGTCGACGATCTCGACGGGGTACTTTTCGTAAAAGACGGGTTTGGCGGCGCCATTGTCGTTGAGGAAAAGGAAGGCCGAGCTGCACGTGTTCTCAACCGCATCGCACGGGGCGTTGGCAAAGCCACTCGGAACGTCCGTGGCGACGCACGGCGTAGGCTGGCAGTAGAAGGTCTGCGTCATGGCGCTCTGGCACACATACGCGCCGGTCGAGCATGTCGACCAAGTCTGCGATGTCGCCTACAAACCGCTTCCTTCCTCTGCTGCACGAGGCGCTACGTACGGGGTTGTTGGGCGAGCACACCGAGCCGCGGTATGCCAGCTGGTTCAAGCCGCACGAATCAAAGTTGGCGGGCGCGGCAAGGGCCGCGAGCCGACTGCACACTTTAAATGTCTTTGGTGTCGTAAAGAACGAAGCACTGATGGGTGGGGAGAGAAACTGTGGGGAAAATGGATTGCAGGCTGCGCACATGACGCGGGCGAGGCTCGTCTTGGCGGGGTTCAGCGTCTCAGCGCAAGTTGCGCCTGTTTATAGATGACATCGATGGGACCTTAGCACGTGGATATACCTGCCGAGATGAGCTGTAAGAACTGGGTTAGGATAGCTTGGTCGTGCGCGGGAAGGCAGCATCGGGCCTGCGTGAACGGGCAAAACGACAGCGGGTACCGTGCTGACGTCTATAGACGCCACGTATTTCAAGGACATTCATTTGGCCACTGGCATCGTACCAATGCTGCACTCATTCCGCTGGCCAAGCACATAGTAGCGTCTGCCGACGCAAGGAGGAGACACACGACGCCAAGCATCCGGGCGATGTCCATGGTCGCTGCGACGCGTCGGTTTCGACCTGTGAAAAAGGCGGGCTTTTCCTCGTGTCTTTATCCGGTCAAATGCAATTTCGGGAAGTTTCGCGGTTCCAAAAGCACAGGCACGTACAGTATGTACACATAAGCTCGACGACATCAATACTTGAATACACGGTGGGCTGGGCACGCGGACGTCACAGACGCACAGCAGAATGTAAGCTGTATTTGAGTCCATAAAGTAGCTCAAAGCTTATGTCATCCTCCCAACGAACACAACATAGTCTAGTTTAGTATTGTCTATTTATACAGAAGACCCACTTGTACAACAGCAGCGCGCGGTAGCTCCTTGTGTCATCTCCACGTCGCTCCGACGGGGTGATCATCATCCATGCTAGAACCCCCTTTCACCAACCGAAACCTATGGGTCATCAACGGAAACACCCCAGTGTTACCTCCCGTCTTTTGAGGCTCTAAATCCCTGGAAAATGTGTCGTAGTATTACATAGCTATTTAGTTTCAATTCGTATTTTACGACACAGAACACATGCGAGTACTAGTAGTAGCGGGGTGTTGAGGGTGGCGAGATCATACCTTTGTGCCATTGGGTCCGTTCGAGCGAGGTTAATGCAACGGCCACACCATCAACGCGCGCCCGTCACGAGGATAAAGCTGCTAGTGTATCCGCGTCGTCCACGGAAGGGTGTGCAGCCAACCACCGACAAAGGTCTTGTCAGCCGGCGTCAATCGCGGAACGTTTTGCATTGGGAGTCGCATGGTCAGAAAAAGTTGCGCTGACTTGGCCTTCATGTCGTACCGCATCGTAAACCCGGCAGCTTCCTATGCGTGGACGGGTCGTCTACTAGCGACGGACGCGGTGCAACAGCGTCGTGGTTCGGGAGATGAGGATAACGCGAGGCAATGTCTTGGGCATAGGAGAAGGCCCTGGCGGGCAGCCGCCATTGACCAAGGTTGCGTACAGATATGTATCATCTACCCATGTCGATGTGAAGACACAATGGCAAACCGTAGCTCACAACACAAACGTCTCCTGGGCGGCGGTGGATGCAGTTTCGTTGATGCAAACGACGAACGGGATGCCATGGGTGAAGAACTCACATTTTCGCACGCAAAAGTCGTGCTGCAGGACGTCCGTCTCGACGCGAGCACCGCGACACTGCACCGGCTTACTTCGGTGCTCGCGAGGGACTGCACTGTCGTGCACGTTTCCTCCTACGCGACACCCGATGGCCTGGTCATCGACGACGACATTCGCTCCGCTGGTGATGCTCACCGAGTGGCTTCCGAGCACCAAGATGCAACTTGTTGTTCTCACGTGGTACGTGGTGCTCGCCTCCTGCAGGTCGATATGTCCCTGAGACGAACACGACGTGAGAACCCTCTCTTGAAGGCCACGCATGGGTTTCCGGACATGGTCGGACAAACGGCAACGAGCGTCCGCAAGAATTTGAACGGAAGTCCCGACGAGGTGTGGCAGAGTCTCAACATGGAGTCTCCACAGCCCAACACGAGCGCTACACAGTAGTAATTTTGCGTTATGTTTGACAAGGAAATTGTGTGCCAGTGGGAGCACTTTTCGTTGGTCTTTGCGTCAACAGCAAACTCGATGGTGACAAAAGCTGTGCTGCAGGACTTCCGGGTCGACGCTAACCCTGCGTCGTTGCGGCTATGTCTACCTAGCTTCGCTACAAACAACAGCCTCGTCGTGGGCCCCTTTGGCACAGCGACATTCGGCCTGCTGGTGATGCTTGCAAAGTGGCTTCCAAGCACCAAGATGCGGCTCGTCATTCACGTGGTGCTCGTCTCTTGCCGCAGGCTCATCCATACCAATGTGTCTTGCACCAATGATTATTTGTGTAGACGGTGTCGTGCAGCACCCAGTTGTCGCTTGCATCGAGGAGACTGCATCCAGTACAACTTTGAAGCACGTTCTACATGTGCTGCTTGGTTGCGTTTTGAAAAAGCAAAGCGTCTGAAACGCCCGGCGGGAAAAGCTGCGGGCAACGAGACAGTATGACCGAGCAGCGACCACAGTTCTTTACGGTGCTGCCGTCGGCGCAAACTCCCCTGCGTGTCATAAACGGCACGCGCTTACCTGCGGTCGCCACGCCAACGTCCCCGCTGTAAAACATTCCGCGTCGCTTAGCACTAACACACTCAAAATCTTTATGATCTAGGCCAGGCATGACACGGTGGTATCACCGGCGGTCCGCCAAGCAGCTGAGTCCGGCAGCCATGGCGCGATTTGCTCAGAAACCGCCCAGCACGCCAAAGCGCAGGCCAACGATATTGCGAAAGCCGCCCGCCCCAATCGCGTCGTCGATCGTCGCCGAGACATTCCAAGTGAACGAGAAGCACGTCGTGTTGCCCCTCCCTCTCATGCGGCTCGCGACCCAGGACGCCATTTTGGACTTTCTCATCAAACCCGTCTCTCTCGCACGTCAAGTGTTCTCACTTATCGCGTGTGGGCTGTAGATGGCACCGGCCCCTCCGACCAAAGAGCGAGCGATGGACGTGACGTTTCTCGAAGACAGCGACGATATCGACGTTCAGGCGCCAACGCCCGAGCCCGACTTGGCGTCGGCGCCACCGCTCGACATCATCTCACTCTCGCACTTGCTCGCACCACCGCGGTTTGCTGCGCCGCCAGCGTTCAATGAGGCAACACTGCTCAAGCGTCGGGATGGGGCGGCTGGGATGGAGCTTCTCGGTACGGACGACGATGACGGTGCCGACGTCGTTTTCTTGGACGACGAGCTCATCGAGGCCAAGCGCACCGAGTTGCAGATGCCACCGCTGTACGGCGACGACGTCGACAAGAGCCTCGTCCTTCGAGTGCTCAACCGATCGCGCATTCTCAAAAAATACCTCGACCCAACAACAATGCAGCGGCAAATGAACGGCGTTCGGCGGCGCGTCACCTCGGTCGCCGCGTCGTCGCCGGTTGTTGAGAAGTTCAACGCTGCCAAGACGGTAGACGGATCGTATCCACGTCCGTGGACTTCGGGCGGCGGTGACGGCAATGAGGTTCCGCCGCGCAGCAGCGACGACTTGGACGCATTTGAGAACCAGCTCGACGACGACTACGACGATGAAGAGACGACGCCAGGTGATGACAATGTCATCGGAGATGGTGGCTCTGGCCGGCAAACCTCCTCCTCAAAACGATCACGTCGTCAGTCGAGCAACGTTGCAGTCGCTGGTGGCCTTGCCGATGCCGTCGCCAGCGTCATGCAGGTGGCGCCGAGTAAGCTCGCCTCCGCCCTCGAGCCCAAAGAAATGGATGCGGGCGCAATCTTGGCGCTCGACGCCACGTCATTGACGCCTCCGGACGGCGATATTGCGCCTGTTTCGATGAGCATCGCCCAAAAGCAGCGCGACAAGGCCGCAGCGCGCACCACGACGTCCAGTGTCGTCGCAGAAATGGACGAAGTCGACTTGACGTCGCCGACGCCGGCCAGTCCTCGGCGGCGTACCGATGCAAAAAAGAAAGCCAAGCTGCCGGGTGGCTCAAGTTCCGACTCGGGCGTCGAGTCGTCGCTCGAAGCCATGTACGAAGCCGCGCTGCGCGCCGAGCGGGCGCGTGAATGGCGTCAGGCCACGCTACTTGCGTGCGCGTGCATCAACATGGACAAGGAGTGCGTCGAAGCCATCTTCTTGCGGGCGCGGCTCTGTCGACGCCTTGGTCTTTGGTACGCATACCTGCTTTGTGAGTTGCGTGCTGAGACATGGCCATCGTAGGTCCCAGGCACTCAAAGATCTCACCTCGGTACGCGCGTCGATCGTGCTACGATCCCAGAGGCCTTGTGGTTCTAGGCGCTGCGCATTTGTCCCAGCAACCATCGCCTGCACTTGCAGCGAGCGCATATTCATATTCAGCTCCAGGATTTTCACGCTGCTATCAACGACCTGACGTCGGTCCTTTCGCAGCACCCAACATCGGCCGAGGCACTCCTTCTCCGATCGCAGATCTACACCAAGCAAAACAGCCTCGCCTTTGCCATCAAGGTGACGCCATTTTTGGTAGAAATTTTTCGATCCAACGAATCGCAGGATTTGACGACAATTGTCAAATTTGACCCGAAAAACTGGCGCGCCTACTACGAACGCGGGCATCTCCGGCACCAGCTCATGGAAGGTCTCGTGCACGAAAAGGACATTGACACTGAGAGTCAAATGTACACACCTCATACAGCGTCCCCAACGCCAATGTCCAAATGTAGTGCATCACCACAGCTCATGCTGCACGTGCTCGACGACTACCTCAGCGCCCTCCGTGCCGGCTGCACGCTGCCCGAAGTCGTCGAGGCCATTGGCGACGTGTGTCTTCGCCTGGTCGCCGCCTCACGGGATGCCAAACCGCTTTTGCACACGATCCACTCACTCTCGGGTCTCGTGGCGCTCATCGACGACGCTGACGCGCGCACCAACCTCCGCGCCCGCGGCGCTAAATTGCGCGACGGGCCCGTCGGGCTCCTCGCAGTGCTCTTGGCGCAGCGCGGCCGGCTCCAGACACTGGTGCGCGTCTTCTATTCTAATGCATACAAATATCAAGGTTATGACGTGGCAGATTGGAGAGCACGCCAAGGCCGCCGCCGATCTGGACCGTGCAGTCGTGCTCGACTACCATTACGCGCCGGCGCACTTTTACCGCGGCGCCCTCGCGAGCTTGTATGCGCACGACGAAGCCGCCCGCAAGGTCGTCGAGACGCACCTCTCGCGCAGCGTGTCACTGGACCCGACGATCACGGGCGCGTACATTGTGCGCGGCGGCGTCTTCGCCTTGGATCTACGCTACACGAGCGCGCTCCAGGACTTCAAGGCCGCTGTGTCGATTGACCCGACGTTGGACTCGATCTGGGTTCAAATGGGCGTCATCTTCTTGTCGCACTACCACGACTGCGCCGCCTGCGTGAGTGTGTGCACAACCGCACTCACCAACGACCGCAGCCTCGAACAAGCGCTCTATTTGCGTGCCGAGTCGTATGCGCGGCAAGGCCGTACCGGCGCTGCGGTGCGTCCACCACCCAGTGGATACATTTTCTGATGTGCAACATGGTAGCTGCGCGACTATGTGCGGCTGGTTCAGACCAACCCGACCGACGCGTTTGCGCACTTGCTGCAAGGCAAACTGCTGCTGCAGCTCGGCCACGGCCGTCCGGCCTTGTACGCCTACATGTCGTTCATGGAGCTCTCCGAACACGGCGTCGATCGCATCTCGCGTGGCATCGCATACCGCGTCCTCTCACAGCACGCAAAAGCTGTGCGTGAGTTCAAGCTGGCGGTCGAGGACCACCCGTCGTCCGAGAATCTGTACTTGCTCTCTGAGGCGCTGCATTCGATGGGCGATACCGAGGCGGCGCTCGAGGTCATTGAGCGCGCGATCGCAACCGAGCCGCAGTGCGCGAGAAACTACCTCCGGCGCGCGCAGTGCTACCTTGGCCGCGGCGCCCTCAAGGTACCAACACCCTACGAGTGGAACGCACCAAGTCTTCATACGCGTGTTTAGTCGGCCATCATCGAGTACGACTTTGCGCAGACACTCACGGAAAAGGCAGAGCTGCCGCGCTTGCTCTACGAGCGCGCCATGTGCCGCATGCAGCTTCTCGTCAAGTGCTGGCACCAGCTCGAGTGTCTTCACGCCAAAACGCATGTCGAGTGCAAAATGGAAAGCAATTTCAAACCCGGGACGCCGCTGCCGGAGACGCTATCCCAGGGCGACATGACTGTGCCCGCGCTCACGAGCTACATCAAGACACTCTACAACGAGACTCTCGCGGACTTTGCCAAGTGCCTCAAGCTCAGTGCGCCCACGCCGCTGGTCGATGCGCTCGTCGACCGTGCCGAGCTCTACGCGCTGGGCGGCGACTTTAGCGCCGCATACGCCGACCTCGATGCGGCACTACTCGCGCAGCCCGGGGACGTCCGCGCGTATATCAACTGGGGCATCCTCGACAGTCGCCTGGCGCGTCGGGCCTCGAGCATCGTGCAATACGACCTCGTACGTCGGCATTTCGCAATGAGGTTCGGCTCCTATGGCGTGGCGTAGGCGCTGCAGCACCAACCGAACCACGCGCTGGCTTACTACAACCGTGGCGTGGCGTACCATCATTTGTGTGTGCACGCCCAAGCCGAGGCCGACTACACCAAGGCCATCGTGCTGGACCCAACGCTTTTAGATGCGGTGCGGAACCGGGGGATTGCGCGCTGCCACTTGTCGGACTTTGCGGGCGGTGAGGTTTGCGTGTAATTTCGTAAATTATCTGAGTGTGCAATTCTGTACTAGCAACGACAGACTTTGAACAAGTGCATCGGAGTGCCCCGGACGACCTCGAGCTCTACCTTGGGTTAGGCTACGTCTACCTCAAGACGGGTCGGTTCCACGATGCGATCGGACTCTTCCGGGCGTCGGCGAGCGTCAACCCGCGGGGTCTGGATGCCTTCTTGGACGCTGGCAACACGTTCTTGACCATGGCACTCTTCTTGAGCGAGACCTCCAACCCTCTCAATGCGCTGCACTCGTCGAGCGCCAAGACAGATACGTTCCGGTCGCTTCTGCACCAAGCGCTCCACTGCTACCAGCGCGCCGTGCGGCTGGACCCAACGAGCGTCGACTGCCGTCTAAATTTGGCCGCGCTCTTCCGCGCGCTTCGGGACATGCCCAATGCGGTGCGCCAGTACGCCATGGTGCAGGGCCTCGACCCGCAAAACCACGTCTTCCACGAAGAAAACGCCATCATGCTCGCAGACGCGGGCCAGTACGACGACGCGATGAAGCACTGGAACGACGCGATCCGGCTCACGATTTCGACCAACAGCATCATTGAAATGGAGTATACGATCATCGCCAACACGCCGTACATGGAGCGGCGGCCGTCAAAGTCGGACGTCGTCGACGACCCGGACGGCAACTACCTGCGTACGTCCACGTGATTGCTTTGGACGGGTGCCGAGTATGCTATATTGTAGTGGACCGACTCTTGGCGCAGAAGGCCGAGGCAGTCAAGTCGATGCTGCAAAGCCGGTGGCGTACGATCGAGTCCCCCGCGGCCGCGACCTCGATCACCGGACTCAAGAAGAAGCTCGCCGTGCAGCTCACGGAGCGCGGAAAGGCGTACGAGCGCCTTGGCTTGCTGGACAAGGCGCGTCTCGAGTACCTCTACGCGTCCTATTTTGACCCGTTGGCGTACGCCGTGTACTTTCAAATGGTGCGATTAAATCGTACATTTTGTCAATGAATTCACACACTTTGCGTATCGTAGGGGACACTCGCGCTGCGAGAACGACGCACCGACGATGCGGTGCGGCACTTTGACCAAGCCATTGCACTGCATCCAAAACTCGGACTCGCGCACTTGAATCTCGCAATGGCCCATTTGCAAACGAAAAACGTTGTGGCGGCAAAAGCGGCGCTGGAAACCGCGGCCGAGCTCATGCCCGAGTGCGGGTTTGTGTGGGCGAACCTCGCGTGCGCGCACTTGCAACTGGATAACGACCGCCGAGGCGCAGTCGATCGGCTGTCGTCAGCGCTTAAGTGCATGCCGACGTTCGCGCCCTTCTATGTCGCCCGCGGGCGCGTGCTCACCAAACTCAAACTGCTCCACGATGCGATGGTGGACTTTGCTGCCGCGCTTCAAATGGGCTACAAGGCGCCACTGTAGCTTCTGCAGTCTATGGGTTTGACATGCCGTGAGAATTAGCAAGGGTCAAGGAGTAGCTAACGACTATCTTCGTGATGGCCGCATACAGAGATGTGCTCGGTGGTACTCATCGGTCCCTTACATATGCAGAGCTGGATAAACACTTGACAGCTACCGAAGCGCCGAGAGTGTTCGCTGCGCCTGGCAGCTGCAAGTAGCTTATGGGTTGCGTGCGTCTTGATTCGGCCGCATCATACCGGGGTGGCAGTAACGCAAACCCTAGCGCGTGCGTGCTCTTTCAACACCAGTGGACAAGACGAAAGATTCGTGCATAAAATAAAGAAGCCTACGCCTTGGCATCGGCGATAACGCGGTGGACGTGGAGGGTTGGCTCGTGCGTCTCGAGGTACGTCGACACGAGACGGCTGATCGAGTCGTAACTCATAAAGATAATGCCTTGGCCGGGAATGACGCGGCCAAGACGAGGGATTGTGCCAGCGTAAAAGCCTTTCAAACCTTCGGTTCGGGCAATGTGCTTGGCGCAATCCCACGTGCTCGCGTACTGCGTGCCGTGCAGCCCTTGCATCTTGGTCTTGAGCACATCAAAAGCTACAGGATGCCATGAGTCAACGCGTCGGAAGGGAAGTGGCACGTACGGTTGTTGCCAAAGGTGCTGAAGATACCGGCCGACATGCCGCCGACCATGCTTACGGCGGCCAACTTGGCCTCCGAAAGCTCGCTGTACACGACGCCGTGACGCTCGAGGAGGCCGGGAACGCGCACTTTGTACTCCGAAAACCACATGAATCGGAGACCTTGGTTACTCGCCTGGGATAGCAATGTCAATTTGGTACAGAAAGCGCGAGCGAACATACCTGCTTCAAGATCGTGGCTGTGAGACCTTGGTAGAGGCCGCGCGCGCCTTCTTCGGCGAGAATGCGGCGCACGCCGTGGAGCATCCCGGCGTTGGCGTCAATGAGTTTGGTCTTGAGAGTCTCGATCGGTGTCGTGGCCACCGTCGCTTCGATCGCGCCTGCGAGCATGCCCGCGGCGAGGTTCCCGAGCGCACTCGTGGTGCCGTTGACGTCAGCAAACTGTCGCTTGAGGTAGTCGTACGCGCCAAAGCGGATGCCAGACTTGGGCAGCGACCCGACGACGACGGGCAAGAGGCCGCGGTAGAGCGACCCAACGCCGTCGGTTGCAACATGGTACCGGAATCCGCCGAGCATGTTGGTGTAATGCAACTTCATCGTGCCGAGCTGCAAATTGGTCTTGATCATCTCCATGGGCCACGTAGCAGTCGTCTCGATACCGCCAGCGATGGCGCCGGCCACGACGGCGACCATCGGATTCGTCGACTTGGTGGTGGTGGTGGTCATGTGAATGGAAATGGAAGAATGACCAACTTCAAGCGTCGTCTTCAACGCATACATCCCGTTGCGCATGCGACGAACCTCGCACCACAAGATCTTCCGCGTGCGTTCAAATGGCCCAATGGCCTTGCGCGGAATATAATCGAAGGCCGTCATAGCCAATCAGCGCGCGTGATGTCGAAACAAATCGCTCGCGTGGTACGACGCACCCGGATTGGTCCAAATGTGGATACATTCGACAGAAGCAGCCAATGAGACGCTGCCAAGTCCGTGTTGCGTTGACGGCAAGATCCACAAGGAAGCGGCGCGATGAGCGAACTGGTGGCCACCGACTGGGCGCGCCGGGCCGACCTCGCGGCCATCGAGCTCGCGATGCTGCGGCTCGTGGACGGACTCGACCGCTTTGGTGCGCGCTGAGCCGCGACGCCGCTCACCCTGCGTAGGCGCTGACGCCCGCGACAAGCTCGCGTTGTTGAACCAGAAGCTCGGCGTCCTCGAGCGTAGCGTCAAGTGGGACACGACGCCGCATCTCTTCAGGGCGTGACATGGGCGTGGCTAGGTACATGGAGCAGAGCCTGCGCGGAGACCCGCCGATGGCCTACTAGAGGCCGCAAATACACACACGAATCCTATGCTTTATATACAATACGTTCTTATGTCGCGGTCGTGCTCTGCATGAAGCGCTTCGCACTCGCGGGTATCCGAAAGAGGCGGAAGCCGCCGCGCTCGGCAGCTGTAGGATGTGCCCGCTTCTCCGCCTGCCGCGCCGAGTCGACGTACACCGCCTTGTCGTCGTCGTCAAACGTGGGCGTAGTATTGTCTTCCAGGACGATTTCGTCTGTGTGCACAAGACCAGAGAGGAGTTCGCGCTTCATGGCTTCCTCGACAGTGGCGGGCCGTGCGTCGGCGTCGTCGAGCGTCGACTGGTTCCCCGTCTCGCAGCGTGGCGTGTCGGCAGCCGTCGCGGGTCGAATCGGAATCGCATTGTCCTCGAGCGGGTCCGTGCCCCTGTCATGCTTCTTCACAGCCGTCCGCGGCGTCGTCGTACGTGGGCATGGCGTAAGAGACGAGGCCACCTTTGCATTGGGTGCTTGGGTGGCTTTTGGCGGCGTCATCATCGAGGATGCGGAGGCGAGAGGTTCCGGCCCTTCTTTCACTGGTGCATTATTTGTGTCCTCGACGGAAATACCAGACACGACCGTGTAAATGTCGACGCTGGACGTCGCCGTCACAAACACAGTGGAGCGCGTTTCGTGTGGCGCGACTTCGGCGCTACGAGGACGCGTGTCGCCGCCGCAGAGCTTGTCCATCATCGCCCGCAGCTTCTCAAGCCGGTCGCGCACGTCGCTTTGAGCCTTTTCTACCTCCGCCGGCGTAAGCATCTTGGTCTGCAGTCCTAGCCGCAACGATCCACATTTCTGCCCTTAAACACAACACTGTACTGTACCTGCACGCGACGAAGGCCGAGCAATCAACGGGCGGCCTTCGGCAGTGGTGGGTCGGCTTGATGACGCGCTGGATGGGCGACTGAGCCCAGGCGTGATTGGACGACCGGGCGTTGCTGGCCGCGCCGCCAACACCTCGAGAAGTTTGGTTGGGTTTGGACTCTCCCGGATTTGCTGTGGCTTGAGATCATCGAGAAACTGCAATGTCGGCAAAAAGTCCAGTGCGTCGACCAGATATCTACGTCGCATGAGACGACCCAACTGCAAAGTCACACGGACGTGGACGAGAGCGTGCACGGGTTGCCGCGGAGCCAAAGGTCTTCGAGCGCCGCGTAGGCTTGGAAGCAACGTAGGTCCATAATCGAGCGCAATCGGTTGTTGCGCAAGTCCAGCGTCTCCATCTACTCGCATGATCCATTAGGGATAGCGCAACCCAAGCAAGCGACCTGTGGCGCACGCTCAACGAGGATGCTCACATCCTGGAGCTGGTTGCTTTCGACATACAGCTCTGTGAGCGCTGGAAGCAGCGGCAGGGACGTGATATCTGCGATCTGGTTGCGGTCGGCCCGAAGCACCTAGGGCATTTTCAGCCGGGTGACGTTATACCTGTGCAGCGCTTCGTACCGACAAGCTTGGCGGGTACACGCCACTCAGGGACGTGAGCTTGTTGCCGCTCACGTTGACCTCATCTAGCTTCTTCAAGCTCTCAAGATTGCCAATGCTCGTGAGTAAGTTGTCGCTGACGTTTAAGTACTCGAGCGCACTGAGCGTTTGGAGTCCCTAGATTATATTGGTGATGACAGTGGTGCCGCCATGACCACAGGTACCGTCGCAAGCGCACCCGCAATGCGGTTGCGACTCAAGTCCAAGTACGTCAAGTGGCGAGCATTTTTGAGGTGCTCGATGCGGCTGATGCGATTGCCATGGAGCTGTAGTGTTTTGAGCTTGAAGAGCGCTGTCAAGTCCTCCGGCAATGCCTCGATAACGTTGTCGCTGAGAAGGACGGCCTCGAGATTTTGGTTTCTAACTCCACTGTCAACTCGAGTCGATATCATTTGCTACATCACCCTTTGAGGCCCGACGCGGACGTAAGCTGGTTGTTGTACGCTTTGAGCTCGCGAAGGTCCTTCACCGTGTGAAGGTGCTCGAGCTGCGTTAGGCGATTGAACGAGACGTCGAGCGAGTAGAGCTTGGGCATCTTAAGACCAGCATCAGAGTTCTCAAAGTGGCGTAGATGGTCCTACGCCCGAGAGGTCGGCGATCTTCTCGATACCGCGGTGGTGCGCATCGACCGCAAACTTGCTCGAATTGTCTTCGGTCACGAGAACGCGCTAGGAGACCCCGACAATAAGAAGGACCGATAAGAAAGCCCGCGTACAAGCGCTTCGAGGTCGAGTACGCGGAGCGGCGTGGCCATGGTCATGGTGCCGTTTCAAACTGTGAAACCTCCAGGCTAATTGGACCCAATCCGGCTGCGTCCACGTGGCATCACGGGCATCGTTTGACAATCTGCTTGGATGTGCCACTGTGTGCAGCACGACGCATCCGCGCTCCACGTCACGCGTCGTTGCGTTGAAATAGCCTCCGTCCGGACCTTCGCCGCCGTTCACCCGCACCCATCCGGACGCGATCTTGGCGTCACATCATCCGCTTGGCGATGCAGCAATCCATCACGGTATTGGCGATGACTGGCCCCGTCCGTTCCCGTCTCCTCGCGTCTAGTCGATGGTACGTATCGATCTACACTGCCCATGTCATGTAAATAGTGTATGACGATCGTCGAGCGGGCTATTTCGGATCTTTCCTGGGCGCACGGCATCGACCCAGGGTGCGGAATGCCGATGCGAGCCAGCGCAAATGCCGGATACCGCATAAGTATCCGGATTTCGACGTTTGAAATTTGAAAAAAGGCTCCAAACGGGGTAGGGGAGTTCGATTGAAGAAGGGATTAGGGCAAGGTCGAAGGGGGCGGTGACTTGGTTTTTGTATGCCGGAGCGAGCTGCAGTCAACCATTGGCTAACTCCACGCGAGGTCTCATTCGTCCGTTTTCTTTGTCGAGCGCAAGCCAAGTCGCCAATCCCAACCTTCGTATAGCCCAGGTACGGCCTTTATTGGCTGCCGCGTTAGCCAATGCGGTGCGTGATAGCCATGGAAGCCCAAGCCACCGCAACGTACGACCCGGCGCAGCTCGCGCTCTATCAGCAACAGCAGCAGCAGTACCTGCAGATGGTAAGCGACCTCCTTCACCTCCTGCGCTGCCGCTCACGCCCGCGCCGCCTTCCTTCTTGCCTTGCGCTCTCTAGATGGTAATGCCCCTCTGCCGTCCCTACTAGACACTCATGGTCTTGTAGCAACAACAACCAAACAACGAACAAGTGCGCTCGATGTACGGCAGTGGCCTCATGATCATGCCGCCCACCTACATGGTACGCGCCTTGCGGTCGCGTCCTGAGAGGCCTGACCGGCGTGGTAGCAAATGCAGTCTCACCCTATGTTCTCACGCATGCCGTTGCCCGGCGGCGGCGAGATGGTCGAGGAAGAGCCCGTGTATGTCAACGCCAAGCAGTACCATCGCATCATGGTCCGCCGCCAGCAGCGGGCAAAGCTCGAGGCAAAGCTCGGCAACGCCCGCCAGCGCAAGGCCTTCCTGCATGCGTCGCGCCACAAGCACGCGATGCGACGACCGCGCGGGCCCGGCGGCCGCTTCCTCACCAAGGAAGAGATCGCTGCGCTCGACCGCGAAGAAGCCGCCGCAGCAGCGCAGCAGGCCATGGACGGCAAGGAGAAGCTTGTCTAGGCACATGCTAGCGCGTAGGCAATAGGAATCGTAGGAATAGGCCGTAGTAGTTTGCAGACAACCCCCTTTATATAAGTCTTATATGTATTACCCTTACAACCGACTAGTCGTCTTGCGCACGTGCTGCATGTCCGTTGCGCGCACAAAGAGCACATGGCACAGCGTCAGCGCGCGGATGGTGTAGCGCACGGGCTCGCCGGTCCGAATCTCGGCCTCACCAAAGACGCTGCCGAGGTCCAGCGTGCAGGGTGGCGCTGTCTCGACGTGGACCTTGCCCTTGCTATATAACCCATGACTGCAAGCGCCATTAAACACTGACGTACCAGAGAAAGTAGACGGCATGAGGCGCTTGGCCGCGGGTCATGATGACTTGGCCCTTTGTGTACTGCTTGGCAAGGATCAGAATGTTGGGGCCGCCGGCCGCGGCGAGCGCTTGGATCTCTACCCGTCGTATCAAGTGCCCGAACGTAGGGAAAAGGCTCGTACCGTCAAAGATCGGGTGGCGGGACGGCCACAGGATCGGCAGTAGCGGCGGCGAGAGCGCGACCGTCGAGTTGCGCTTGTACGACATGGACGTGACGTCGACGCTCTTGATCGAGTACTTGTAGTTGATCATGAGCCCATACGCGTTGTCAAAGCCGGCGCTCGAGAGGTCGGCGTCGAAATTGAGGCGCTCGACTTGCGCGCCGTTCTGCAGGTGAAAGTTGGCGACCGGGTCGACGATGCGTAGGTTCGGGCCATCGTCGCCTTCGCCGACGGGGCACGCTTCGCGCTCAAAGAGAATGTAGTTGAGACAGAGTCGCGTGAGCACGTCTTTCGCCAGCTCTTTCTACCAAACTCAAACTCAAACCATGACAACCGTACTGCGGTGACGTACAAAGATGGCCGCGTGGGGCTTCTTGTGCCACTCGTTCGCGTCGAGCTGCTTGCGGAGCCACTTGGAGGCCGAGAGCGCGTTGACGCCAAACACTTCTTGGAGCACTTGAAAGTTCTCGGGCGTAAACCACAGCAGCTGGTGGCTCTGCTTCTTGATCGGGTTAGCCGTCACTTGGTGGCTAAACCAGCTCCGGAACGACGGGACCGGCGACAAGGTCGCAAACGTATGGACGCTGGGGTACGTGCGCGCGACGCGAGTGATCGTGAGGAAGAGCAAGTGGCTCGCGAGGTTCAAGCCGCGAAGACCCAAGTGCGTGTTGGAGATCGAGTAAAAGATCGCGTGCGTCGGCGTCGTCACGGGCGGTCCCGTCGCAGGGGACAAAATGCTGTCAATGTTGCTCGAGAGTTCCCTAAACGTTTCGTTGATGACGACTAAAAGGACGCGTCATCGTACGTGGTCACGATCGTCTCGAGAAAGACGAGCGGCTGGTGCGGCAAGTTGGAGTGGAACATGCCATAGCAGCGCCGGTTGGGCCCCGACAACCGCTGCTCGAGGTCGTCCCAGTTGCGCATGCGGTGCACACGCTCCTTCTGGAGCACGACCGCGATCGTCTCGGCGTTCTCCAGCACCAAATCGATGCTTCGAAAGTGCACACCCGACTGCGTCGCAAAGAGATCGCGCAAAAGCAAGTCGAGGTACATGAGCGCGTTCACCTCGTGCGTCGGCAAGATGCGATGGTACTTCTTGAGCCCGAGCGAGAGGTCCGAGCGCAGCTGCAATAGAAACGCATAGCCGTTTGGAACTGACCCGAGAAGGATGCAAAAGTGCTCGGGCACAGGCACGAGGCCGTGCTTGACGTGCTTGTACGTGTCGAGGTCCGTTGGCGGGTTGAAGCCGAGCGCGGCTGCGAGCACCTGGAACACAAGGTGCGCCCGCAGCAGCGATGGCAGCGACCGCACGAGCAGCGACATGTCTTGGCTGCCGAGGTCCACGGCGAGCGCCAAGAGCATGTCGAGCTTCTGCTCGTCGGTGAACGCGCTGTACGAGGCAATGACGCTCGCCGCAAAGTCGCGCCGCCGCTTGTACTCCCAGACAAAGCCCGCGTCGTGGTGCTGGTCCGTGTCCTCGACCGCGGCCTTGACGTCGGCGACGAACGACTGTCGGTCGAACGGGACCTTGGTCTTGGCCACGGGCGCTGGCGCCGGCTTCCGATGGGCTTCGAACCACGCCGGCCCGAACATGCAAAATTTAGATCGCCAAAGCTCGCGCAATGGATTCGACGTTGGTATACAAACATCAAGCTTCGGACGAAAATAATTTGACCAACGACGTTTAAACCGTTGCGTAAACAACGTTAAAGCTACTTTCTGCGTAAACACGATCGCCAGCAAGGTGCTGTGCAGGATACGACGTGGGGATTCGATGACGACAGTTGCTCAACCTCCTCGCGCTGACGTTGGAACATAGACCACTTTCACTGCACTTGCAGTACCGGTGGCACATTTGGGCTGTTCCGTTTAACCGGTTATGGAGGCGTTAAATCACTCCGTGGGTTTTAGCTTAAACGGATCCGGATAACAAGCCGCGAGCGGTCCCATTGTTTGCCGCAGGACCAGCAGCAGCGATGGCCGAGCGATCGACGATCCACTTTGGCGCGCTCTCTGCGAGCAGCATCGTCGGCGCGGGCTCTAGCTCCGTCCAGGCTGGTATCCGCGCGGGTAATATCAACACGGGCAACTCGGGCGAGAAGGAGGTGCTTGAGCTCTCGGAGACGAGTCGACTGGCCCAGGAGAAGCATGCGGAGCAGCTCCGGCGGCTCGAGACCGAGCGCCGCGCGCGCTTGATCCAAGTGCCGACGCGCACCGAAGAAGTCATCCAGCAGCTGCGTAGCCTTGGCGAGCCCATCACATTGTTCGGCGAGAAGCCCGAAGATCGTCGGGCGCGTCTTCGCGATCTCCTCGGCGCCCTCCAGCTCGCGGGCGACGTCGACATGATCGTCGCGGCGCAGGCCAAAGCAAACGCTGCTGCTTCCGAGCTAGTCGGGTACGAGAAGGAGAAGAAGGTTGCGGTTGAAGACCAGCTTTTCTACGTGCCGCTCAAGACGAACGACCTCAAGGTCGCCCGCCACGCCATGTTCAAGCACTCGATGGTGAGCACGAGCGCGCGGCTTCAGCAAGAGCGCGCGCAAATGGAAGGAACCGTCTTTGATGCTGACAAGCACGCGGCGCAGCTGTACCGCGAGGCGCAAGAAACGAGCCTGAACGCGAGTCAGCTCGCAGACGTCCGGCCGCTCTCGCACGTCAAGTTTTCGCCCGACGCAAGTCTTCTGGCAACGGGGTCGTGGAGCTCGAACGTCAAGATCTGGAACAGCAAGTCGTGCGACCTCGTGCACACGTTGACGGGGCACACGGATCGCATCACGGGCCTTGCGTGGCACCCGGCGTCGACGACCGAGAGCCCGATCTTGGCTTCGGGGGCGGCCGATGGCACGGCCAAGATCTGGAAGGGCAACGCGCTGGCCATGACGCTCAAGGGGCACCAAAACCGGTACGAAAACCTCCGATTTTCGACATGGAAATGGCTCATCTTGGTGCGTAGGCTGGGCCAAATCGCGTTTCATCCGCTCGGCACGTACCTCGCAACAACGAGTTTTGACCACTCGTGGCGGCTCTGGGACATTGAGCGGGGCACGGAGCTCCTCTTCCAGGAAGGCCACTACCGTGAAGTGTATGCGATCGCGGCGCAGCCCGACGGCGCGCTCATGGCCACGGGGGACCTCAATGGCCTCGGGCGTATCTGGGACATTCGGTCGGGGAAAGCGATCTTGCCGCTCCAGGGCCACGCCAAGCAGATCGTGTCCATGAGCTGGCACCCCAACGGGCACGTGTTGGCGACGGGCAGTGACGACCACACGATCCGCGTTTGGGATCTGCGCAAGCGCCAAAACATCTACGTCGTGCCTGCGCATGACGCGATGGTGTCCACGGTGTGCTACTCTTCGTCGGGCGAGGTGCTTGCGTCGGCGTCGTTTGATGGGTCGATGAAGCTGTGGCGGTCGCGCAACTGGACCTGCCTCTCCGTGCTGAAAGGCCATGACGGCAAGGTCATGTCGCTCGACATGGCGCCGGACGAGACGCACTACGTCTCGGCGGGCTGGGACCGCACCTTCAAGACCTGGGCGCCAGCCCGCGAGTGCTAATGTAACAATCAATTTCACGTTCGTGGATGATCGCGTTTGGCGCACGGCCATTGGTGGAAGCAATTGCGCAATATGATTGGTCGAAAAGATTTGTGTTTAGCGACCAACTATTTACAAGATGGCAACGCCGGATCGCCGCGAGGACGGCCGACTGGTCCAAGAGATCCGCCCGCTCGCCTGCGAGCAGAGCCTGCTCAACCGCGCCGACGGCTCTGCGCGCTTCAACCATGGCACGACGTCGGTGCTGGCGTCCGTCTCGGGCCCCGCGGCGGCCAAGCTCCGGCGCCAGGAGAAGTCGTCCGGCGCGACGCTCGAAGTGACGTTCAAGGCCGAGAAGGGCGCGCCGTCCGCGCGCGACAAGGAGTACGAGATGATTTTGCGCGAGACGTTCGAGCCGATCATCGTGCTCGAGAACTTTCCCCGTGCAGTCGTTAGCATCACGGTGCAGGTCGTCGAGGACGACGGCGCGCTTCTCGCCGTGGCCATCAACGCCGTCAACCTCGCGCTCATCGACGCCGGTGTGCCCATGCGCAGCATCGTTGGCGCAATCACGTGCTCGATCCTTGAAGACGGCCAGCTGTGCTTGGACCCGTCGCGCTCCGAGGGCGAGGTGCGACGACGACGACGATCATTCGAGGTATCCTAACCTGCATGTAGACGGCGGCAGCCACGGTCACAACGGCGTGTTGCGGCAACAACGACGGCATCTTGACCTCGATGACGTCTGGCGTGCTCTCGGAAGAGCAGTACTTTGCCTGCTCGGAGATCTGCAGACGGTAAGCATCACACCATGTCACCGAACAAGCATGCTCATCACCACGTAGAGCCATCGATAGCGTCCTCGCCGTTGTGCGTATTTCCCAGGAGAGCAAATTCAACAACGCGTAAACCTACAACTCACCCCGTGTCTTCTTCTCTGCATCCGTCGTCTTGCCCCAGCTCGATGCAGCAATATGAGCTACGTACGATTCTAGCACGCAGTAGTACTCGGCGAGCGCTGCGCTCTGGTCCATTCCGTCCTGTTGCTTGGTGTCGCGACCGCGATCGAAACCATTGCCTTGATGGAGCGACAGCGAGATAGTTGGGGGAACATCAGCATCTCAGATATGGCATATGCCGCAGACAAAATGTGGCGTTTGCCGAACTCAATGATGTGAATCGGCACAATAGGCGATACTCAGTGGCATGTCCCACCCGGGGAAAAAGCCGGAGGTCGAAGGTTTTGCCCACGCCAGCCGTGGGTTTAATTTCCGTCAACTTCAGCAGTATGGACGCGACGCCGCCGCCGCCGACCAAGCCCAAGGGCGGCCGCCCGCGCGACGGCGTCTGGGCCGACTTTGACGAGTCGACGGGCAAGCCGCGGTCCTGCATCTGCACGTGGTGCCGGATCGAGATGAAGTCGGAGCCGAAGCGCATGATCCACCACCTCGCGTCCAAATGCAAGGAGATCGACCTCGCTGGGCGCAACAAGTACCTTCTTCGCTGGAACGAGATGATGTCGGCGGGCCACGACGACGACTCGGGCGTCCCGCGCAAGGTGCAAAAGATCTCCAACAAGAAGCGCAAGATCCTCATATCGGGCGGCGGCTTCAATAGCACGTACCTCAAGTACGTGGTGGCGCTCACAGGCAAAGCACGGCCGCGCATCTGCTTCTTGCCGACTGCCGCCGGCGACAGCCAAGACAAGATTGTCCAGTTTTACGAAGACTGCGCGGCCTTGAACGTCGAGCCGCACGTGCAGTTGAGCTTCCTCAGCAGCGCCAAGCAGGCGCGCGACTGGGACGAAGTCCTCCTCTCCATGGACGCGATCGTCTGCTCGAGCGGCAACACGGTCAACCAGCAAGCGATCTGGAAAGCCCATGGCCTCGACGAGATTCTCAAACACGCTTGGGACAAAGGGATTATTCTCTGCGGCTCGGGTGCGGGCGCGCTCTGCTGGTTCGAGGAAGGCACGACCGACTCGCGCCCCAAGCGGCTCTCGACGGTCAAGTGTCTCGGGTTTCTACCGGGCAGCCACTGCCCGCACTACGACTCGGAGCCGCACCGGCGACCGCTGTACCAAAAGCTCATTTCGACCGGGGAGCTCAAGCCCGGGTACGCCTGCGACGACGATGCAGGTATTTACTTTGAGGACGCCGAGCCGATCCGCGCCGTCACTGCGCGCGCCGACGCCAAGGTCTACTACGTGAGCATGGTCGAGGGCCACGTCCAGGAGCAGCTCCTTCCGACGCATTCGATCGACAGCAACATCTGCACTGTCTAACATGCGTCTGTCAATACAATTGTGTACATTTTTCATCGCGTTGAGAAAAAGGCCAGCTAGTCAACGCTCCAACAGAGTCGACAAACATGCAACAGCGCCCGAGCATGCTCTCGACCTCCGACTACCTCGATGAGGAGGAGCTCTGGACAACGATGTTTCCGGACGAGTCGTCCCTGCATGCAGCGGACCCGTCGCCACCGCAAGTCGCACACCGGGTCGCGGCCAACGCGTGCAAGGACGAAGACCCGTCGCTGTGGCTCCAGGTGATGCAAGTGGCTGACCTCGGTGACTCGTCGGCGTCGTTCCCACCGCCGCCAAACGCGGACGCGCCGGTCACGGGACCACTCACGCTTCCGATGCACCCGTCCGGCGGCAGTACTTCAACCTTCAGTGTTGGGCCCGACTTGATGGTATTTTGTAGGTCTCTCCAAGCCCGCGTTTCGCCACGACGGCTTGCTCGTTGTCGGCTCGGAGGCGAGTCCGACCGACTCGTTTGCGACCGAGCACGGTCTCTTCGTCTCCAACTTTCGGTCGCCAGACCATGGGTTCCTGCCCCTGCGCCACGTATGCAACCTCACCTGTCGCGCCTCATCGTCTCGTGTAGGCGGTCCGTGACCTGCAGTGGATCGAGCCCCACGCAATCGTCCTCGCAGTTGGCAAGGACCTCCAAGTGCTGCATGTCGGCGCAACTGCCGCCGAGTGCCATCTCCAAGGTACACACTTTGCTCGGCCCCATCCGCGATGGTTTGCGTAGCCCCCATCACGATGACGCACTCGAATCTCATCCGCGAGCTCGCCGTGTGCCCCGCCAACGCCCGGCAGGTTCTCTCGGGGGGTACGTTGCCGCTTGAACACAAACCCTCGACATGATGCATCGGAGATTAGGGTTTGACGAGACAGTGTGCATGACGGACCTCGACTGCGCCGACGTGCTCCTCAAATTCGACGCGCGGGACGTCGTGAGCAGTTTGCGCTGGATCCCCGATGGTCCATATCTCGCTGTCTGCATCCCTTTCTCTCATACCGAGTAGGCACCGCGCACCGCGTGAGCTGGACGACGGACGGCGGCGCGTATAGCATGGCCGACATCCGCGTCAAGTCGGCGTCGGGGCAGCTCAACGTGGCGTCGCCCTCGCTCTTTGTACCGACTTGGAGCTCTTGTGCTCCGTTCTTATTTCATTCGAGTAGCGCTTTGAAGTCACGGGCGGTCTCTACGCCCACGACTACGCGTCCGAGCACGACGTGGTCTTGGCGTACGAAAAGGGGCACCTCGCCTTTCTCGATGTGCGCAAACTGCCGGCGCACGATGCTTGGTACACGCATGCGCTTCCACTCGTATTTTAAAGGGGTGCTCTTGTAGCTACCTCATGGTACAGTCGCCCCTCCACACGGTCGGTGAAGTGCGCAAATCGCTCTGCGGCGACGTCGCCCTCTTTGGCCTCGGCGGCTTCGCGATCGCTGACCTCTCTCGGGCGTCGTGCTTGCACCCGACCCGCTGCTCCATGTACGCTACGACCGACTGCTTATCTCCAACCTCTGGCGTAGTGAGTTTTTCCCCGTCCACATGGACCCGACGCGCAAGACGAGCGGCGACTTTGCCGTCGACAACGTCAACTTGCTCGCTGTCAGCGACAGGTATTAATGCGTTACGATGACCAGGGTCACGCAGCTGCGTAGCGCCGGCCTCGTCTCCATGTACGACATGCAGACGCTCCGCGGCGTCGACGACACGTTTGCGCTCTGAGTCTACCTACTTGTGCAGCACGGCGCGAAAGAGCGTCGCGACTGGGCTCTCGGTGCCGCCGCCGCTTAAGAACGCCTCGGCGTGCAATGCAGCGTAGTGTTGGAGCTCTTTGATGTGGCTGTCGTTGGTGGCCGCCGTCGCGCCTACGCATAGCCATTCATGCATTGGTGTTGGAGTATCGCACTTGTACCGGCCTGGGACTCGTACTTGGCGATGACTTGGCCTTCGACGATGGCAAGGAACCACTCGTGCTCCTACGCCCGCTCGTGAAGAGGGGATGCTCGAGACCGGTCTCGCGTACCTTGCTGCGCGTCGACTTGATGCGGCCGAGGTGGGACGTGGCAAGAAACGTTTTGAGTGACGGGGCTTGCAGCGTCTACGAGTTAAGTGTGTGAGCTAATGCGGACGCTGCGAAGCTGAAGCACCTGGAGAAAGGTGTGGCGCGTCGACCGCGACAAGTCGGCGACGCCGCTCAGAACGCGCTGGAGACAATTTTCAATCTGGTCGGTGACGCTCAGGAGCATCTCGAGAAGCCGCAACGTCGCGACGCACGTCTCCTTGGCGTCGTCGTCGTCCGGCTTGCATGTGCCAGAGTCATAGACGCGCTTCCAGAGCTGGAGGATCATGTCGATGGCTTGGAGAATGCCGTGGTTGGCGACGCGCGCGCCTTTCGCCTTGGGCGCCTTGGAGGCGTTCAAGAGCGCGTAGATGCGCGCGTGCTGCAGCCAGCGGCGGTTCGTCGCCGCATAGCGCGACTCGCAGATGAGCATGTCCCGGCGCAAGATGTAGACAAAGAACTGCAGCACAATGAGCGTCCTACGCATCGTCCTTATCGTCCGCATCATGCAAGAAGCAACGAGAACGCACCGATCCCAGACAGCGTTCATCGTCTTGGTCGCGGCTGTCTCGAGGAGCGACGCCATGATCTCCCAGCGGTCCGGGTACTCGAGCGACGTATTGCAGAGCGACGCTTGGTCAAAGACAAAAGTCAAGGACGCGCAGATGTCGACTGCGCGGTCGTACGACGGCTTCGAGTCCTCTATGACCTCGAGGCACTGCGAGAACGTCATGGCCGTCGGGTACTCCTTCCCGAGCGCGACGAGCGAGCGCAGCGCTGCATGCGCGATCTCCGGGTTGCTCGTCTTGAGCGATGTGTTGAGGTCAAAGACCTACGTAAGCCATGAGGCGTGGTCCTTGCGACGAGAAAGGACGGACGAGCGAGTTGTTCATGCGCGACTTGACCGTCGACGATGGCGTAAAGGGCTTTTGGTCATTGTCGAGGCGCAGCCGCTGGGGCGTCACAATGCTGACCGCGTCCTTATCGTCATCGTCGTCTTCCTCGATGCTAATGACACCACTGGCGTCGATGCGCGTGGCCGGTGGTGGACGTGGCGGCGGCGTAGAGAGGTCCACCGAGGCCAAGGACGCGCGCTTGGCGCGGGACGAAGGCGAGAAGAACGCGTCCATCATCGGCTGCGACCCATCAAGCGACGACCGCGGGGAGAAGAAGCCCGAGATCGACGGCTGCGCCTTGACGTCGTCGGGCTTGCGCTTCCGGCCCGACATGCTGCCAATGTGAAAATGGGAACTCGAAAAAAGAAAATGAAAAAAAATGAAAAAAATGGTTTTGAGTTTCGTTTCGTTTGGTGCACAGGAATTCTGTATGCGAGTCCAAAATCTTGAAATCTCGCAACCGCTGCAAGCCATGGATTACACGGCGCTGGCCGCCACCGAGACGAACCCGGTCAAGACGCGGTCAAGTGGGCGCCTCGACCTCGCGACCGGCGTCACGACCGTGCTCCAGCAGCGCGGCAAGACGCTCTTCCACGTCGGCTTCCGCGACGGCCCTCGGCTCTGCCTGCATCCCGAGGAAGCGTGGTGCTTGGCGCACCGCGGGGTCCTCGACGTGACAACGGTTGACAGCGAGACCGCCCTGCCACTGCGCGACGTCTGCGCGCACCTCGAGAAGTACACGCCTCGCGCCTGCCGAGAGGCCTACTGCTTCCTGCGCGACCGCAAGTTTTACCCTATGCGCCATGCGAGGACGCCGTCGCCGCAAGTGTCGACGGCAACTGCCATCCACATCGCGTACGACGTCTACGCCGGCAAGAAGATGACGCCATGGCCGCTCTTCCGCGTCGCCGTGTTTGCGTGGGATGCAGCGATGCCTCATGCAACAGCACTCCTTGCGGCCATCGGCGACGACGACGTGCCATGGAAGCTCCTCGTGGTCGACGACGAAGGCAGCGTCTTGAGCTACGAGATCGACAGTCGTCGTGGCCAAGCGCACGTGTATTAATAAATTATGGTGGCGACACGGACAAAAAACGCGCCAACGCGTTCACGACTCCTTGTTGAAGTAGCACGTCAGGAACGTCTGCGGGTCCAAGACGAACTCGTCCGACGGCGCTTCGTCCTCAAAGAGAATGAGGTCCGTCGAGTCATGGCCAAAGTCAAAGGCCGCATCGCAGTGGTAGATGGGCAGAAATTGGTTCTTCTTCATCATCGAGACGGGCGACGACGCTGCCGAGCCCTCCGGCACTGTTCCGTCCTTTAGGCTCACTTCCGACGTCGACGACGACGAGAACCAGTCCTCGTCCGTACCCGGCATCGCATCGGCGCTCACGGGTGAGAGCCGCTCGAGGCTCGGGTCAAAGTCCGTCTTGACCGAGGTTTCGGGAAAGTCGACGACCATGGGCGCATCGAATGCGACCATGCCCCGCGAGACCGTCACAGGCCGCCGGGGCGGCAGCATCGGCGACGGTGCCCCACTTGTGTTGACCGCCACACTTATGTCGACGCTCACGTTGCGTGCGCGCGCGTCGGTCGCCGTGCTCGATCGGAGGCACGGCGGCTTGAGGGCCTCCATGTTGAGCTTCATGTCGGCGTCCTTGCGCTCGCGTAAGAGCTTGCGCGAATAGTGGCTGTCCTCAAAGCTATACTTGCGCTTCTTCAGGCTCGCGGATGTCGCCTTGCGGTCATGGTCCATGCCAAACGGCGACGCAAAGTCGCGGTCCTTGCCCTTCGCCTCTTCCTTGGCGAGCTTTTGGTAGTACTTTTGGGCGTGCGTGCGAATCTGCACGACGCTGCGCGTCTTGATGAGCGTCGCAATCTTCTTCCACGCGCGGTATGGGAAGCACTCGAGGCCCTTTAGAAAAAGCTTGTGCTCGGCGTCCGTCCAGCGGCCCGTGTTCGGCTTGCAGTCGCGCGGGATATCCGTGTCGCTGTCGCCGTCATCTTCCGGCGAAGATTCGCCACTCAGTGTGTTGTGGAATGCAGCAGCTTCCGCCGCCTCGCGCCGCGCATGGCCGGCCGTCATGCCGGGCGACGTTGGCGACCCGAGGCCCTCCATGCGCTCGGCCTTGAGGCGCTCGAGGCGAAGTGGGGCAGCGACCAGACTGTCGTCCGTCAGCAGCGACATCATAGGCGTCGACGGGGCAGAGCTCATGACGATGACGATGTTTCCTCGACGCGGCTCGATCGATTGTGATGGACCGATCGGCGTGACCGCAGGGTCGTTTCATGGGCTAACACACGTGCCCCTATCTTTTCGTCTGGATTTAAACCAAGGTTTGTCTAGAAACACGCCAATTCGATATTTCAAACCATGGAACGATGCACCGCGATGTGCGCGCGCCCATTGGTCCGCTCTGGCCTTCAATCGCGCCACTGATTGGCTGTGCGTCCGAAACCGACGCGCCTTCGCCAGGCGGCATACAAACAGCAAGTGACGCCGGCAAGATTCGCAATTAAAAAGAAAGAGCATAGAAAGGCCAAGCGATTTAATTAGAAAGGCAACGATTGAATTTTCGAACCGGCGGAGATCAGCCATGGCGAGTCCATATTGCATATTGCATATTGTGGATTTTGCTACTGCGCGCTGCCGCCATCTTGCCGTGCATGCGATCAATATATTCGTCCTGCAATGGCAGACGAGAGTGGGCCAGTTCGTACAGAGCTGTCCATCGCATCCGGCGAGGACCATATTATATGGAAGAGAACGAGAAGGTAGCCATCGACGACGCTATCATCCTTCAGCTGCAACCATAATATCGAAGCCGATCCGGATACTCCAACTCTGCTCCCGTGTTCGATATTTTAGCGGTCGTCGATTATTGCTGTGGCTCGATTTGCGCAATGTCCCAAGGCCCTTGGATTTCGCTAGAGCAAAGACGAGGATGAGGCGCGCTCGCGAAGATGGACGCGCGTACTTCTTGTACTCTTGGGCGTGCATGAGCCAGAGCGGGCACACGAACGTAATGAAGCCGGCCGTGATGAAGACGACGACCGACACGAGCGGCGAGATGGGCCACATCAAGAGCAGCGCCGTGCCAAAGAGCACGAGTGCCAACGACAAGTGCATGTGCTCGGACGTCTTCTACATGCAACAGGTCGAGGGCAATCCATGCAACGAGATGTCGACCTTGATGCTGTGTTGAACCATTGGGCAGATCGCAAACACCTCGATCGCAAAGAGCACAAACGAAAACACTTGCTCGTTCGAGTGCAAGAGAGACGCAAGCAGCACCGACGTAAAGATGGCCGCGTTGAGCGAGATGGTCCCCGCGTACCTAGCATCTTCATCGTACATACACATGACGCATGCAGGAACTACTTGAACGTCGTGCCGTTGATGTACGTGTAGTCGTGCGAGATAAGGTGGATGCCGGTAAGCGAGATCGAAAGCGCCCAGATCGTGTCGGCCGCGTACGACTCGGTGAGCGTGCGCAGCACGGGCGAGAGGATTGAGAGCGTTGCCGTGAAGAGAAGACACTCCTTCGTGACTTGCAGTACATCTAATGAAGTTGGGACAAAGATTTCACGGCAAAATGCGCACCAATCTCCGTGTCGCCGCACGACCGCAGCGCTGCATAGCCCATGAGCGCGACGATCACATCGACGCCGGCGAGGAGGTGCCACGACCACACGCCTTTGCTCGAGTTGACAAAGATCGCCTACGCACCATCAAATCCTTCCTCAAGCAACGCGATCGTACAAAGAAGATGAGCACGAGACTCATCTGCTGCGTGAGCGCGGCCGACGACTTGGTCATGCCCCAGTAGTCGTACTCGCGCACATTCTCTACGTCGGGTATGAGCCAGGACACAAGCGCGGTCGTACCGTTGGTGCGGAGTTGCTCGAGGAAGGACGAGTCGACGTACCAGTCCTCGTACGGCTGTTCTTCCCAGAGGATCTTTCGCCACACCTACGCTGGCGCATGAGGCGAGGAGGCCATCGCGCACTGCGAGCACCTTCTTCTCGCTCGTCGGCGCGCGCCCACACACGTGGCACTCGTCCTTGCGCTCAAGCCGTCTCGACGCCATATTTGCTCGTCCTCGTCGCCCAATCCGATCGCGTTGTGCAGCACGAGCCAATCACGGCGTCGCATTTCACGCGTGATTTGCATATCTTCCTTGCCGTTCGTGCCGTCCAGCGCTTTGGCGAGCTCCTTGCTCGGGCTTTTCTCCGTAGCTCCTCCACCGAACGCATGCCACGTACCCGTACAAGCCGTCGCTATGACTTGTCGGCAAAGCACTGCACAGTCGCGTGCCCTGACTAGAAACGCTCCCGACAACCGCCAAGCCGCGATGAGCAATCTGGCACAGAGCGCCGAGGCAGAGCTCGCCAAGGTCCGCGCCGAGGGCGACTGGGTGCTCATCAAGATCGAGATGGAGAAAAAAGCCATGGAAGCCACGACGGCGGCCATCGCAGAGGCGCAGGACGAGATGAAGCGGCTGCGCGCAGCCAAGAGCAAGCAGCGCACCAAAATGTACTAGTACATGCCCGCAGGCGTCGACCTCATAGTTTTGTGCCAGCGCCCACCCGCGCCGTCGCAAGCAGCTCGCAGACTCTGAGCAGCGCCTCCATCTCGCACTGCAAGGGAAGCGCCAGCACATTGCGACCCTTCGCCTCGTACGTTCCTTTGCTCCTACATACCGTCGAGGACACCCGACTCGCAGGCGATTGACGACGCGCGGCGCGCCAAGCTCGACGCCGCAGCCGCTTTGGCGACCGAAGCAGCATGTGCCAGCGACTGGGAGGCCAAGATCCAACGCACGCTCGCCGATCTCGAGACGGCGCAAGCGAACGACGCGGCAGTTGCGGACGAGATCAAGCGTCTCCAGGCGACGATCGATGCCAACGAGATGGCGTTCCTCGCAGAAAAGCAGAAGCTTACCGCCGAGCTCCAGCAGCCGCTCGTCGAGCGCACACACAAGGCCTACCGCACCCAAAACCATGAGGTACATGCTTGGCAAATGTCCGTCGTGTTACTACACGCTCTTCTAGTTGGAGTATCGCAAGAAGAGCAACCTCTCGTACTGCAACCACCGATCGTACTATCGTAGGAGGAACGACTCCCTTTTAGGTGGCTCAAGGCGCGCAAGAAGGTCGACTTGGTCAAGCGCACCGAGTCCCTCGAGCGCAAGAAGGAGCTCCTCGACTATGCGCTGAGCGCGACGCAGAAGCCAAACGTCGTCGCACTCGTCACCACGTTCTTGGCGCAGGAAGCCAAGAAGACTGCCGTCGCGACTACGCTCGCAGACCGCGCTTCCCGCCGTCCGTGCCTCATACTGCTCCTCCTTCCCTCACTCTAGTGTGCACGCTTGTAGACGCCCATGTACTCGCCACCATGGCCGACGTCGAGACCGAGCTCGCCAAGCTGCAGCTCGTTCAAGTCCACGCCAACCCGTTTCGCGCCGACCTTGTCGCAGCGCTCGAGGCCTCGCAGGACCGCGCCAACGTCGTCGCCGCCGAGAGCGCCGCCGTCGACACCACGTACGCAAGTTGAGCTTTTGGCAGCTACAGTATGTTTCTTGTCATAGGCTCCAGCAGCTGGAAGCGCCGATCGCTGCGCTATACGAACTCGCGTTCGAGACGACGCCGACCGAGATCGTACGATCAACTCTGTGCACCGGACTCATGGCATCTGTAGGCCCCGCATCTGCTCGTGGGTCTCTTGGCGCGCGTCGAGGCGCGTGTCTCGGAGCAAGTGCTCTCGCGCGTCGCCCGCGCGTGCCAAGGCGTGGCCGACAGCAGTACGTGGCCGTCGCTGCCGCTCGTCGCGCGCTTCCTCGAGCTGCGATGCGCCGCCGCATATACATCGCCGCCGATCGTCGTCCCGCCGTCCATGAGGACGCAGCGGAAAACGTCCGGCGAGGACGACGACAAGTGGCCCGTCCACTCCAAAGCGCTTCTCGCTGCGCTCCACGCCAAGCGCAATAAGCCGCAATAAGAAGACGCAAGAACAAGACCAACGGAGGGTTATCTCCTTGCATACATACCACTACAGGGCGCGCCAGACGCGTCGCCGCTTGGCCTTGGCCGGCGCACTCAATGGCGCAAAGACGTCGCTCGGGAGGTCGGGAAAGCCGTCGAGGCGCGCCCACGGGTCCATCTTGCGCTTGTTGGCCATCGGCAGCGGCCGCGCGCCGTACACGCTCTTGGGGAATATCACAAACACGCGGCGCTGGAGCGCCGGTGGCAGGCGCAGGCCCCGCACAATGTCCTACATGTATCCACATGAATCGACTCGTCCAAGAAGACGAAGAAGGTACCGCGGTCTCCATGTCGGCAAAGACGGTCGACGGAATGAGCGGAATAAGATCCAAGATCCACGAAAAGAGCGGAAGGCCCGTGTCCGTGCACACGAGCGGCGTCTCGAGGAGACTCACGAGCACCTTGATGATGCCGTTGCGGTACGGCAGCGTGTAGTTGGTCACCGACGCAGCAATGCTCACGAGCTGGAGCCGCAGCGCGAGCTTGCGTCGGAGCGCCGCGCGCACCGCACAGTCCGCGGGGTCGGCTTGGAATGCCGCGCGGAGCCCCTCGAGCTGCTTGAGCAGTGACCGCAAGAAGCGCGCGTACATGGTCGCTGGCGTCAACGGCGCCGTGAGCACGCGCCGGAGAAAGGTCGCGACCGCCGCCGACGAAAACGTGCTCAGGAATTCGTCGCACGTCGTTGGCAGCAAGCAGTCAAACTCGAGCTGTTCGCAGACGCGCGAGACGACCGCGCCGAGGACGCTGGCGGTGATCTGCGCCGACGGAATGCACGTGACGCACGACGCGAGCAGGTGCGCGTTCGCCACGTCGCATGTTTCACGCTGAGCGAGCGCGCGCTCGGTCGAGGACGCCGGACTGGCCACGTCTGGTGCGTAAAACGACGGGCGCGCACATCGCACAAAGAGCTTGTGGGCCACGAGGATGCCAATCTTGTCGCTGGACGAGAGCGTCGACGACGCCAAGTGCGTGTCGTCCAAGGACGGCGGGGGCAGCGCCAAGAGCGGTGCGTAATTGCTACGCACCTCGACGACGCGCGTGTCGACAAGCCGCGGCAAGGTCGGCTTCTTCGCGCGCTTGACCGCCTTGGCGTGCTGCCGGACCATTTGCACTTCGAGGTACGTCGACCCACCTCGGTGCACGAGCCACTTGTCCATTGCCTCAAAGATCGCTTCGGCTTTGAGCAGCTGGATGCGGTTCATGGCGAGCTCGGCCGGCGTGTTGAGCGGCCGGCTGAGGTGCTTGAGGAGCACGTTGAGCATCCAGACGTTGTCCGGCTCCTTGGCCGCGTTGGCGATGTAGCGCTCGCGAAGCTCCTTGTCGGCAAAGAGACTCTCGCGCACGAGCATGTCGTTCGTGCAGTGGAAGAGGATGAGGCTCGCGAGGTTGCCGCGCTCGTCCCGCGGCTTGAGCGTCTGTCCGTCCGTCGTGAGCTGGTACGACATTTGGCAAAACAGCAACAGCAGTGGAAACAAGACGGTCGAGGGCACCATGCTCCGAAGGAAACGCCAGTGGTACTTGAGCATCGGGTCGTCGATCTGCGCCATCGTCTTGGCGTCAATCTGCGTGTACTGCGGCGGCGCGTCGCCGAGCAAGTGGAAGGCGAGCGCCATCGAGAGCAGCTGGTTCGGGAGCGACCGCGCCTCGGTGGTCTTGGCGTTCTTCTTTGGAAAGCCCGGCACGAGCACATACCGAATGACTTGGGGGAGGTCGAGGATGCCGTGGAGGACGAGCGACTGCAAAAAGAGCTTGAGACCGTACTGCGCCTTGTCGAGCCGGCCCTTGAGGTTGCACGCATACGCTTCTTTGCCGCTCGAGTCGCCGCGCGAGAGGAACGGGTGCTTGGTCTTGCCTTTGGCGTCGGCCTTTTCGAGGCCGTTGAAGCCCACAATGACCTCGCGGTGGAGCCACGCGAGGAGCGTGTCGCGAACGAGCTTGCGGTCGCCTTCGTCTTGCGCGTCGATAAAGTCCCGCAAGACGCGCACGCACCGGTGCAGGTGCTGCGGCACGAGGAAATGGATCTGCCGAATCGAGTTGGACGCCGTTGCCTTCTTGGCCGCCGTCGCATGCAGCAGCGCGAGCCACTTGTCCATGACTTCGGTCAGGAGCGCGCGGAACACAAAGATGCGCTGCTGCGACGTCGACGGGTTGTGCGCGAGGAGTGCGTTCACGGCCTCTTCGACACCAACGTCCCGGCACGCCATCTCGCTCGCGTCCACCGAGCCCATGAGGTGCGTAAAGCTGCGCGCCACCACCGGGCTCGGCTCGTCATTCGGACTCAGCCCCGCAAAGATCTTGGCGAGGACGGCCGCGAGGTCCGGCCCCATCGTGTCCTTGTCCTTCGGGAACGCGCACTTGTGGTTGACGCCTTCGAGCGAGAGGTCCTTGCTCGGGTCCGTCTTGAGCTTGTCTTCTTTCAAGATGGCAAAGAACGCCTTCGTGAGCACTTCGGGCGGTGACCGCGCGTCGAGCGCCTTGAGCGCCTTATCGAGCGCCTTCGAGTTGCTTTGGTAGATGCGCGCAATGAACATTGCGATCGTCTGCACCTTGTCGTCCGGGTCAAAGCCGTGGCGGCGGAACGCGTGGCACCGGTACTCGTACGCTTGGATGAGCGCGAGCAGGTCCTGCGACGCGTAGAACGTCATTTGGTGCCGGTCCAAAAGCGGCATGAGCACGGCTTTCACCATGTACACGGGAGCGTGCCGGACAAAGTGGATGACGACTTCGAGGAGGCTCAAGACGTCAATGAGCTCGAGCAGCACGAGCAACAGGCGCAGCGTAAACTCGACATTGCAGAGCTCCGAGAGCGCGAAAAACCCCGCGTCGTCGACAGCGTACACACGCGCGAGCAGCCACTGCGTCAGCCGCGTCTTGTCGTGCGCCGTGAGCCGCTTGATGGCCGAGTAGAGCTCGACGACCTTGGTCATGACCTCAAACTCCGTGCTCTGCGCCGTGGAAAAGACAGCCATGCAGAGACCCATCGCCCGCTCCAGCGTGCGCGACCGCTGGAGCTCGTCGGGCACGACGCCGACCAATTCCATCCACAAGCTCAGCGTGTCCGTGTCGGTCTCGCCCTGGATGTCGCCGCGAAGCTCCAGCGGCAGCGCCCCAAACGGTGCCGGGCCGCGCGGGAACTGCCAGAGGTACAATCGCAGCCGGTCGTGCAATGGCACGGCAGCAATGTCCTTGAACCCGCCCTTGTTCGGCCCATACTCAAAGTAGTACGAGAGCGAGAGAAGCGACGACGCCACAGTCGGCCGCTCGAGAAGCTGGTCCATCGCGAGGATAAAGGCGTCCGTAAAGAAGAGCCGGCGGCGGATCAAGAGCGAGAAGAGGTCCAGTAAGGACGCGAGCTCGGCGTTCTGCGTTGGCACATACGTCTTGAGAAACGTCGTCAGCGGCTCTTGCAAGAACGACGCATGTTCGCGCGGCGACAAGTCGCTACACAACGCCACCATACAATCAAAATACTATAAAATATCCATACCGGGCACAGAGCGCGTGGTTGTGCGTCTCGAGAAGGTACACGACCGACACAAACTTGTACTCTTGCGGTCGGTAGATCGAGACGGCCCACTCGCACACGGCGTGGATCGCATGGACATCGACCGTCACGGGCTCGTCCTGGAAGATCTAGGCATATGCGAAAAGTCGACTTTGCCGTTTGATATGGTCGATACCTGGGCGTAGACGTCGTCGGCTTCAAGCTTGGTTTTGCCGCCATGAAACTCGTCGAGGAGCTCAAAGATCTCGACGTCGTGGCGCTGTTTCTTGTCGCCCAGTGCGTCCTTGTGGCGCTTGCGGGCGATCACCGCGTGGAACTCCTTGACGCGGGCGATGCGGGCAGTGACTTCGTCGAGCTTGGCGTGGCACTGCGTCAAGCACGCGGCGATGGCTTCGTCCGAGTACATGGTGCGATCAAAGAACCGATCGGTCAGCACAAATGGCGGCCACACTTGCAGCACTAGAAATGCATCGATCATCGTCACCCTGTCAAGCATGAAAATACCGTCGTCGCGCACGTGAATGAGGTGGTCCGTCGCGTACAGCAAGACGTCGCGGAGGAGGTGGCACATGCCGCACACGAGCGACTCGGCGTAGAGACTCGAGGGGGCCCCGACGTCCGACGGGTCGTTCACAAGCAGCTGCAAATGCTGCAGCACAATCTTGACGAGCAGTTTCACGCACAGCGGGTGCTCGAGCATGTCGGGCAAGAGCGTGTGCAGCGTCTGAAGGAGCTGCACCATGATTGGCAGCGGCAGCGGCAGCTCGGGCGTCGACGCCCCGGCCTTGGGCTCCAAACACTTTTGAAAGAGCGCGAGGAGGCCTTGGAGGTACCGATTCCGGTCCAGCAAATGCAGTTGGAACTGGTACGCCGAGAGCTGGAGGAGGTACACAGTCTTCTCCAGCGCCGAGATCGATGGCACCGGTGGGAGCGCGGCAACGACGGGCTTGGCTGCAGCTTTTTTGCCTTTGGCCGGTTTGGCCGGCACGATCAGCGGTGGTGTCGATGGCTTCTTCTGCTTGCTGCTGCTCGCTTGAAGCAGCGGCGTCGGCTCGTCGTAGCTCTGGCGGGCACTCGCAACAAGGCACTGGAGAAGCTGGCCCGTCCACTCGTACGCGCGGCGCTGGTACCGTTTCGAGTGGAAGAACCAGTCGCCGCTGCGATGGTCCGTGTCGCGCCGGAGGCTGTGCAGCTCCTGGTACACGACGTTGGCTTGGATGTACCACGTGGCTTCGGGGAACCCGCAGTTGTACTTGGCGACTGTGTCCAGAATCGGGCACTTGGACTCGTCGCTCGGGTGCCACGACTCGTGCGCAATGCCGCCGTACGTCTGCACCATATCCGCGAGCGTAAACTTGCCGCGCGCAAGGTCCAACATCCACATGTGGTGCGCGCCCGGCTCGGCGAACCGTCGCACTTGCTTGTACACAAACTCGATAAAGTTGTTGGGCGACGGCGCCGGCGACTTGGCCAGCGGCAGCGCCGCCACGTGCGCCAGTCGGTCAAAGAGCGGGATCTGCTCGCTGAAAAACGCATACTGCTTGTGCCAATTGCCCGGCATGGGCCCGAGGCCGCGCGCGGTCTGTGCGACGTACGCCGCCCGCCGCTTGGCAAAGTGGTGGTACTGCTCCTCTGGGTGTGACGGGTGCGTCTGGAAGATGCCCGGCATCCCCAATTTGGCCGTCGTATTCGGGTTCTCGGCGTCCTACGTCCATGTACCGTCGAGAAGCGTGCGATGGAAGGGGCGACGCGTACCTTGAGGAAGCGCGGGTCCAGACCAAAGACCGAAAGCGCGTACCGGAGCGACGTCGTGTCCTCGGACGGGCCCTGGAAGCTGTTCATTTCGAGGAGCTCTTGTCGCTTTTGCAAGCGCTGATTTTGTGTCGATAAAAAGGCCGGCCGTGTCGCACTCGGGCGGCGCTGGACCGCCGTCGCATGGGGCACATGCCGCGACGACGAGTGCGACCGGCTGTTCTCACGATGGTCGCCATCGACCCGAGCCGACACGGGGGGTGGACCGGGCATCATAGGCCCTCGCGGGCCACCGCTGCGACCAAAATAAGAAAGGGTGTTTGATACGGTTCGGCGTACCGTGGTGGGGCCGCGCCGTTCGGCGGCGGCGCGTAGTTCTGTGGTCTGCCAGCATAAGCTGGGTGGCCATGGGCCACGGGCTTCTTTGTGCCATTCGGTCCCAACCCTGCGGCGCTACCCCCTACAAGCCGCTCGCAGCATGAGGTGCCACCCGTCGATCATCGCGCAACCGCACCCGGCGGGCCATGGCGCGGGGAGTGGCGCAGAGGTTCCGGCTGCTCCATGTTCACTGTGGCGCTTCCTCTTCTTGGTACGGCGATGGTAGCGCTTCTGATGGACGTCTCCTCCGTGGCCGCGATCGTCGTCCTCCGGCCGCTTCCGACGAAACCAAAAACCAGCAAATTCACGCCCTATATTATTCCGCCTGGCCAATCGCCCTCCTCATTGGTGGAATTTTACTTGAATTTCACCAATGGCGTCTCGGCATCGAACGCTGCCCGTGTGCGACGGACACTACATCAGTCGCTCGCCGAGGTCGCTGACGCCTGTCGCCACTGGCTGCATGACCATCGACGCACATAGACTCTGCGCGGCTGGCGCTTGTAGCTTCAGTGTTATGGCATTGCGCGTTTCCATCCGGCCGCTAGCGGAGCCCGCAGCCTCGCATTGATGCACGAGATTGCAACACCATCGAATGGTCTTGTGCTCAGAAGCGTACTAGTACTAGTACGCTGAGCTTTAGCGCCGCATTGTCGTGGCGTTGTTGCCACGCACGACGGTGCATAGGTCCTACCACCGTAGCGGCCAGGGCATCCATGCATGGAGCTGCAACCATTCCTGCCGCCCATCGTTGTCACCGAGCGCAGTCGCCTGTAGGACGCAGCAGTACGTAGAAGCAATCCCCGTGGACATCGACAGTGGTGCGTCTAGTAGCTGGGGCGTCGCGCGATCTTTGGGCGCAGTCCCACTTGCGCTTTGTATGTGGCTGGCTTGTCCGGATACCGACGCCATGTCGCAGTGGAACCTTGGAAGCATGGTGGACGCGCCGGTGTTTCGACCGACGCCAAGTGAGTTTGCGTCCTTCCCGCGCTACATTCGCACGGTCGTCGAGCCGCAGTGCCAAACCATTGGCCTCTGCAAGGTACATGACGTGGCGCATGTCCTCTCTTTGCCGATTTGCACACATTAGATCGTGCCACCACTCGGGTGGGTCGCGCGCGCGTCTGGCTACGACAACGTAGCGTTCGACATCCACACACCGCTGAGCCAGCACGTCGCGGGCAAGAAAGGCGTCTTCAACGTCGACCTCGTCGAGCGCAAGAGCATGACGCTCGACGCCTTTAAAGCGCTGGCGGTCGCCAAGGATACCGTCACGCATCTTCTCGGTACTCGAGTCATGTTGCGACGACGTCGACATCCGCGACTGTAGACGACGACGCCATCGAGCGAGCCTTCTGGAAAGGCCTGCGCCCGACCATGGAGCCGCCAGTATACGGCGCCGACCTCGTGGTAGATACATCGATTGGCGGCAGGCAGCGGACGCGGTTTCTCGATAGGGCTCGCTCTTTCAAGACGACGCGTTGAGCAACCCTTGGAACGTCAACAACCTCGACACGATCCTGCGCAGCGTGGACCTACCCGGCGTCACGCAGGCCATGCTCTACTTTGGCATGTGGCGTGCGATGTTTGCGCTCCATACGGTGCGACTGGTCCACGTCATGCCATATCTAGTCCGTGTTGTCTGCAGGAAGACATGGATCTGTACAGCATCAACTTTCTACACACGGGGCGGCCCAAGTTTTGGTATGGCATTCCGCCGCAGTCAGGTACGACGCTGTACGGCTTGTCCACATCTTGAATGACGTAGTAGCGGCCAAGCTCGAGCGCGTCGCGCAGAGCTTGTTTCCGGAAAAGGACATGACGTGCCATCAGGTCTCGACACCTCCAATGAACCAACGACTCGACTCGATCTTCGACTGTAGTTTCTGCGCCACAAGACGTCGCTCATTGCGCCGACCAAGCTGCGCGAACACAGCGTCCCGTTCTACAAGGTAGCAACAGGTATGCAGGAGCGACGCGGGTGGATGCGGCGCGTAGGTGGTGCAGCGACCCGGCGAGTTTGTGATTACGTTTCCAGGCAGCTACCACCAAGGCTTCAACATGGGTTCAACCTTCCTCCTTTAGTAGTACGTACTACGACGTGCGGTAGGCTTTAACATTGCCGAATCGGTCAACTTTGCGACGCTGCGCTGGGTCGGCCTCGGTCGCGCGGCCAAGGTTCGCATTTGGCGTGCTAAGATCTGAGATCTGAGATCTGACATTTGACATCTGATAGCTGTGCCACTGCGTGCCTGGTCAAGTCCGCATCGATCTGGATGCGTTTGTACATAGCATCTTTTCGTCGCCGGGCAGTGACCGCCTCGATGCGGATGCGTGGGTGCTCCTCTGCAGCTGCGGCGCTTACGCGAGCAGCGCCGATTCGTCCGAGCACGACCTCGTACTGCGTCGTCGCCAGACATGGACGGCTCATGCGTTTGTATGTAGCAGCCGTCGTTCGAGTGCTCCACGTGCAAAGTGTGGGCCCACCTTGCGTGCGACCATCCGACCTTGCCTGTACACTCGTGACATATCGTGGTCGATCGACTGAAGCCGATAGGAATAGAGCGATGCCATACCGTCGACGCTCCTGTGTCGGTACTGCCAAACCGCCAGCGACAAAGACCTCGCGCCGCCGAGCCCGCGCGGACGACCCAAGCGCTTGTGCAAGAAGAAGAATGCAATCATCTCGCTGCGCCGGTCGCCCGAGATGGTCGTCGAGGTGCACACTGCTTCTTCGGTGGGAGTCGTATGATGATGGGTGCGTTCCATAGGGCAAAGTCGTGGCTGTTGACGGCGCCTTTTTGCGCGTGCGCGTCAAGGGCTGCGCCGACGACGAGTGGCTTCGCGCCGACGACCCATCGATTCTCAGCGAGCAGCCGACGGCCAAGAGGTCGCTCGCGTCAGCAGCAGCGTCGCCGGCCAAGCGACGTCGCACGTTGAAGTGATGTAACTCAGATATACAGTCGACTTGCAAAATCTTCGAAGTTGGGATCTCGCCCCACGAGATGCTTTGCACGTGCGCGCACGCTTCCAGGGGCAGAACGATGGCCTGGCAGACCAACACACTCGCATGAGCAGCGGTAGCGGTAGCGGCAGTCGCTGGGGCCATGCGCCCAACAGCAGCAGCACACACGCCGTCAATGGCACCGTGAGCCCACATAGTATTGCTGCGGACGCGACGGCAGCCCAGCCCGCTAGCAGCGACGACATTGCGTTTCCTGCGACGCCCGGCGTGCGGATGGTGCCGTTCGTGGTGCAGCCCACGCTGCACACAACGCTGTGCCTCTCGTCGGCCGACTGCGGTCGCCACCTCGGCTGCTTCCAGCTGCCGTCGTTCCCGACTTGGTCGCAGTGCCTGCCGCCAGATCCATCGGCGCCCATGACGCCCATCGACGCCACGGATGCGCTGCACGCCTACACGGCGCTGCCCCCCGACACTCTAAGTCCTCGGCATGGCTTTTGCCGCGATCACCACAACTGCGGCGACTACTTTGGCGTTGCGCTGGGCTGCACCCTCGCACGCGCCTCGCCCGCCATGGTGGCTGCCGGCGTCGGCTACTGCGACTGCATTACGACCCCGTGTCCCGTGGCACCGACGCGCTGCGACAGAGCCGGTTGCGTCGGCCACGGTCCCATGCGCGACGGCCCGGACGCACGCTGGCGCCAAGCGCCCCTGCGCTGCGTCTTTGACAGCGTCGCGAATACCTCCGTGTGCCAGAGTGACAACAGCGTTGCGCCGATACCGACGGGTGGTCCGACAGCGTACAAGCCAGCGGTCATTGGGTTCTCGGACGAATTGCCGTCGGTGCAGTTTGCTGCTGGGGCGACGGTACTCGTCCTCCTCGGCGCCCTCGGTGTTCTCATTGTCGCCGTCTTCCGCGCCAACCAACTGCGATCGACAGCGTTGCCGTCATCGGTCCACGAGAAAAGATGATTTCGCGTCGTGTCGTCGTCGTATGTATATACTCGTTCTGCAAGGTCGTAAGCGGATGCTCAGTGCAAATGAATGTGCTACGTCATATCCCATGATGCCATGTCGAAGCGTGGAGACGAAGACGTACCGGGTTGTGGTGCTGGTGCGTGTGCTGCGTCGTCATCATCATTTGTTGCTGGAGGTCGTTTGGGTTGAGCGGTCGGACGCCCGAGAGCGTCTTGAGCTCCGTAATGATGCGTGCGCAGAGGTTCATGTACGTGAACGCGTCGCCGCCCAGCTTTTGAAAGTCGAGGAGATAAATATGTTGCTGAACCTTGTAGAGCTGGAGCCCAATCTTGATCTGCTTCATCGGGTTGGCGTCCGGCACGTTCGCAAGATGCCACCGGCATTTCACGCGGTACGGCGCGAGCACCTTCCACTCAAAGTGCAGCACGTGCAGCGCCTTGTACACCTCCGACATGACGTGCGCCGGCTCCTTCTTACTCTGGATGCCGAGGTACCAGCGCCGCCGCTTCTTTTCGGCCACCGACTCTTGCGACGGCGTCGGGTTCATCACCGGCGCCGCCGCCGTCCGGTTCATTTGCTGGTACTGCGACCGACCGCCAAACTGCCGCGGGTCCACGGGCGACGCCGTGATCATCGGTGACGCCGCCATCGGAATCGGGCCTCGCCCTGGAATCAGGAGCGTCGGGTCGGGCTGCGAAAACGTCTTGGGCGTCATATCGAGCTTCTTTGTGTTCCGGAGCTCTAGCCCCCGCGTCAGGATTCAGCAAAGTAGGAATGACTACCGTCGATGCGCTTCTTGGCGTTCTTGTGGTCGAGCATGAGGTCGTACGCGACGCGCAGAGGCCCGTGCTCCTTGTTCAGGACGCAGTGCACAATGGCTTCGCGGGAGACGCCAGGAAAGTTGAGCGCCAAGCACTGGGTCACGACGTCGTCGTCCAGCACCATGGCCTACGCACGGCTCAGAACGTAGTGGAACACACAGAAACAACGTACGACTTGCTCAATGCTCTCGGGCGGGTGCTGCAGATACGGCGGGAGGTTGGTCTGGAACCACGGGTGCTGCCTAGACTGCCCATGAGGCCACAAATCACACCGGCCACGGACCGAATCTCTGGGATCGTAATGCGCTTCATCGGGTCCACGACGAGCATGCGCGGAATGAGGTCCCGCGCGTGCTCCGAGAGGTGCGACGGGAGGCTGTACATGCCGCCGCGGATCTTCTTGAAGAGGTTGGGGATGCTCTCGTCGTCAAAGGGCAGCGCGCCGCAGAGAAGCGCGTAGAGGATGACGCCGCAGGACCAGACGTCGACCTCGGGCCCGGCATATCTAATGACCGTCAAGCATACAAACATGCAAAGTAACGTTGTACAAGTTGCCCGAGATGACCTCGGGGGCCGCATAGTTGGGCGACCCGCACGACGTGCGCAGAAAGTCGCCGTCCTTCATGATGTTGGAGAGGCCAAAGTCGGCGATCTTGACGTTGTTGTCGGCGTCGAGGAGGAGGTTTTCGGGCTTGAGGTCGCGGTGGACGACGCGGTGGAAGTGGCAGTACTCGACGCCCGACACAATCTGGTGGAAGAAGTGGCGGGCTTCGTCCGGCGAGAGCTAGAGCGTATGGCCATGAGCCTGCGGTGCATAGATCGCAAGCACGTACGCGGCCTTTGGACACGATGTAGTCAAAGAGCTCGCCGCCAGCCACGTATTCGAGCACCATGAAGATATCCGTGGGCGTGTCGATGACCTCGTAGAGGCGGATGATGTGCGGATGCTGCATCTTGCGGAGCAAGCTAATCTCGCGCCGGACCTTCTCGCCCATCTCGAGCGACCGAATCTTGTTGCGGTTGAGGATCTTGATCGCGACCTTGTGCCCCGTGATCTCATGCTCCGCGACTAGCATGCATGATCGTCATCGTCATCATCATGCAGGCGAGGAGGAACGTACGCTTGACCTTCCCGAAGGAGCCCGTCCCGAGCGTCTCGCCCAGGCGGTAGTGGCCGAGCTTCACGGGGATGTCACTGCTCATGCGTCTGCCAGTCGCCAAGACGGATTTTATACCCAAAACGGACCAAGCCCCCGCCGCTCTTTTTATTACTTCCGCGTTCCATATGGCGCTTTGTATGGCGTGCGCGCTGGCGACAAGGAATAAATTAAAATTGCCCACCGAATCCTCCGGCCGCGGCCGCCGACGGTCGTGTTCTCAGCATGAGAACAGCAACGGGATGGCTCATGGGGCGCCCATCGCATGCGCTCCCGGTAGAAATCCTGCAGCAATCCGGCGCAGTCCGTAATGCATCTGCAACAGTGGCATGTCACGCTGGCAACGTCAGGCGACCGTAGCTGCCTCCACAAGACAAATGGCAGTGTTGCATGGATTGGCCCTTCCATTGCAAGTGCAAGATGGTGCTACTGCGGTACGTCTTGGCACAGGTGCTCGGCGATAGCGAGCACCTCGTGGTACTCGCGACTCGGGTCCACGTCGGTCTCGGAGGCAAAGAGATCCAAATACACCCAGCGAACGTTGCTGGCGACGAGCTGCTGGAAGAGCGACACGAGGTCCAGCATCGAGAACGCGTGCTCGTGAAAGGCGACCCGCGAGAGCGCCGGCGACGCCTGCAATAGGCGGAGCAGCGTCGTGACCTGCGCCGTATCGCTCACAAAGTCGACCACGAGCTCTTCGAGATGGAGCATGTGCGTCAGCGCCGCTGCGAGAAGCTCGAGGTCGCTGACGTAGCAGAGCGCCAAGTAGGTCAAGCTACCTTGCGTCGTGGCGAGCGCGTGGAAGAGCGAGGCCTCGACGGGGTTGACGAGACTCACGGCGCCGCCGTCGAGCGTGAGGCCAACGTCAAGGCGCAAGCGCTGGAGCTGCGGCAAGGCGTGCAGGCCGACCACCATGCTGTTCCACTCGAGAAGATCTTTAAACTGGATGCCATCGAGATGCAGACGCGATAACGTCCGCAGCTGTGCCAGCGTGGCCCACAAGAGCTGCCAGCTGTCCTGGGACAAGCGCACAAGCTGCAGATTGAGGGCCGTGAGCCGCGACGTGGCAAGCACCTGCGCGAAGAGCGCCATGGTCGCGTCATTGAGCTGGAGCGGAAACAGCTTGATGCATCGGAGCGATGCCGGGAAGCGGTGGCCCGCGAGCGGCTGCGTCACAAACAGCGTCATAAAGACGTCCGAGATGCCGCGGAAGTGGACCTTCTGCAGCGTTGGGCAGTGGTGCAACGCGCGGCAGAGGACGCGACTCGCGTCGCACAGGAGCTGGAAGCCTTCGAGGTAAAGGCGCTCGATTGGGTGGGTCTCAATGTACGTGGCCAGCTTGAGGACGACCGAGGTTGGGCACGCCGTCGTGGGATCATACGCACTCACGATGCGGAGGCAACGGCAGTTGATGTGCACGATCGCATCCAAGATCATATCGAGCTCGCGAACGTCCATGAGCGGGCTCCAGCGCAGCGTCAAGCGCTCCATCGCATCGGGGAGGTAAGTGAGGAAGGTGCAGACGCGCGCGATGGGAAATGTCGTTGGAAAGAGCATGAGCTCCAGCGACGCAATGCGCTCGCAGAGTGCAAGCCCCGCTCGGAAGCAGTCTTCGTACGGCAGCAAGAGCGCGATGTGAATCTTGGTCGACGGCAGCACGATGCGCTCGATCGTCGGGAGGAAGTCGGGCGACGTGATCTGAACCGCCTGGAAGATCGGGACTGCGTCGCGGAGCAGGGGGATGATCGTCCCAGGGGTTACGAAGCGAATATGGAGAACCGGCCAGAGCTCGCATGCACTGTACGTGTACCGCAGAGCAAGGAGGCTCGAGAGCGCGGGGCCGAGGACCCGGCGTGGTAGCGCCCGCAGGAGGCGGAAGACGCGCGTCGGCTCTGCGATGTACTGGACGATGAGCTGGAGGAGCTCTGGGGCGAGGGCGCCATGTTCACAGCGCCCGCGGGAGGAAGCCTCTTGGACTTGCATCTTCCTCTTGGCTCGAGGGAGGAATCGCGGTCTTGGCCATCGCGTACGTCCAGGAGAAAATCCAAGCGATCTAAAAATAGATCGCCAACAAGATTAATTGTGAGAGGTACTGTGGATATCGATTGCCTTCAAAACAAGATGCGAATAATACCTGTATCATTTTATACGCTATGCCATTTGAACGTCGTTCGATGACATGTATGACTGTTAATCTTCCTTGTTGTAAGAGGCAAGCAACTGTGGTTTACGGCAACTGGCTTGGTCATTTGCGCAACATAGCCACGATTTGTGGTGATAGCAGGTGCGCCTTTGTGCACAGATTTGTCGTGAAGGTTTGGTCACGTCCATGTTTAACATGCGAAGCATACGTCAGCGCTCGACGATGCGAGCCATTTGTGGTCATAAAAGTACCATCGGCGGCGCGAAAACGCTGCATGAGAAACGTGGTCAGCGCACTAGTCTTTGGGGCATAGAATCCAGCCACTGGAATTATACGCAGCCGGGTGCACGCACCTGCCCGCTGCAGCCGTCGTGCAAGCGCACAAGCGGTCGTTTCGAGTCATCTCTATCGCATGCAGCTTACCAACCATCCGCGACGATCTGGGCGGCAAAACCCTTGCTCACGTTGGACTACTACCGGTCCTCGTTCGCTGCATTCAAGAAGCGTCGGAGCATCCAATCACGGACCTCATCGGCGACGTCGAAAGGCACATCCCAAAGAAATGCTGCACCCAAGTCGGGTCGCGTTGCATTTCAAAGCACGGACGCATCCAACACAAAATGGCGGGTACTTCCCGGTGTCGCCACTGCCTTCCATCATCCCATGACTGAAGCGGCTCCATGCAGCGCCACGAGGCAGCATCGTCCAGCGTTTCTCCATGCAAAAGTACCAGGTGGCATCGTCATGGGATAGTCAATGGCACGGTACTGCAGCCAATCCGTGTTCGATGACGCAGGCAAGCTGGCGCGCCGCGAGGCAAAAATGACCCAATAGGCAGCCGCTGGCTTTGTATCCGGATACGCCGCCGTCGCCTCTGCATTCCATTATAATGACTATTTTAATGCATCATGTGCGATATGTCATACAAATTATAGTATAATAAATGTCCCATGGACGGAAATATTATTGTATTTTTATTCCAACGCACAAACTTGGGGATCTTCCTCGCCATTTTTCAATTTCCCTCGAAACCCCAAGATGGCCAAGTACCAAATCGTGTTGATCCGCCACGGCGAGTCGCAGTGGAACGTCGACAACAAGTTCACGGGCTGGCATGACGTCCCGCTCTCGGCCAAGGGTACGACCATCGCTCCATGAAGGCGATAGCTCATGGCGCATGTAGGCGAGCAGGAGTCGCACGACGCCGGCAAGGCCTTGAAGGCCGCGGGCTTCAGCTTCGACCAGGCCTACACGTCGGTGCTCAAGCGCGCGATCAAGACGTGCTGGAACACGCTCGAGGAACTCGACCTCATGTGGATCCCGGTCACGCGCTCGTGGAAGCTCAACGAGCGCCACTACGGTGCGCTCCAGGGCCTGAACAAGCAGGACACGGTCGCCAAGTACGGCATTGACCAGGTCATGGTGTGGCGCCGCAGCTATGCGATCCCGCCGCCGGCCCTTGAAGAGTCGAGCGAGTACTACCCGGGTAACGACCCCAAGTACGCCGACGTGCCCCGCGAGGAGCTCCCGTTCACCGAGTCGCTCGCGACGACCAAGGTCCGCGTCGTGCCGTACTGGAACGACGTGATTGTGCCCGCGATCAAGGAAGGCAAGAAGATTGTCATCGTCGCCCACGGCAACTCGCTCCGTGCGCTCGTCCAGCACTTGGACAACATCTCGGAGGACACGATCACGGGCCTCAACATCCCGACGGGCGTCCCGCTCGTGTACGACCTCGACGAGAACTTCGTCCCGGTCCAGCACGAGTTGGCCATTGCGCCCCTGTCCGGCCACTACGTCGGCAACCAGGACGAGATCCGTGCTCGCATTGCCGGTGTCGCCAACCAGACCAAGGCATAGATCGTGTTGTCCGTATCCACTTCATCCATTTTGCTTTCTGTCCATCTCTTGTTTGCACACCTTTGCAGCTTCACGTGATCAACCCCAAGCGGACAACGAGAACTCATTTGCCTGCTTTACACGACGTCGCTCACAAGTCGGTGCTGCAGAGCTCGTCGACAAAGTCGTTGGACAAAATATGGTGCGGGTCCCACTCGTTGCGCAGTGCGCGGTACGCGTGCAGCGGGAAGCGGCTGCGGAGTCGGTCCTTGAGAACATGGCGCTCCAACACGCTGCGGGGCGCAAACTCGAGCTTGGCCCAGTGCTCAGTCGCACCGTACGGCGCCATGACGTCTTCAAAGACCTTGGAGTAGTCGACGAACGCGTCCTTGATCGCGTCGAGCGACGGCGACGCTTCGTGCAGATAGTAGATGATGCCGACCCACGAAAACACTTGGTTGTGCAGCGGCGACGACGCCGGGCTCATGACCGCACGGCTGCTCGCGGTCCAGCGCTGCTCGATGGGCGTGTGCGCAGGAATCTGGTCGCGCTCGATGCGGGCGAGGAGGTCTTCCATGAACGTCAGGTCCGACCCGTCCGCGGACGGAAACGCGACTTCCGACACAAGCTGCTGGCCGCCGCAGTCAAAGCCAATGACATCGTCGGAGAGCGCGACGCGCGATCCCTGGCTCTTTTCCCAAAAGCTCACTTCGGTCTCATTCACGCGCGCAATGTACCGGGCGTTGAGCGGGTCGAGCGCGTACAGCGAGTCGCGGAGCTGGGTGAAGCGCCAGTTGACGTGGTCCGGGTCCGGCACGGTCGCGACTTGCTTGTACAACGCCCGGAGCTCTTCGAGACGGTACTCGACATCGTCCGAGACGGGCGAGCCAACATGCGACCCTTCCGTGTACGGCTTGCACGTGACGACGACGACCTTGTCTGTGTACGGCAGCCACATGTAGCGCAAATGCTGGTTCTCGACGAGCAGCGACGCGTGCACCTTCTTGAGCTCCGAGAGCGAGTACAAGGTCGTCGTCTCGAGGAGCTTGTGCATCGGCACGCACTGCAACGTGAGCTTGGTTACGACGCCGAGGCCACCGAGACCGCACTTGGCGAGCTGGAAGCGCGGGTCCGACGGGTCGTCGAGCGTCAAAAGGCCTTGCGACGGCGTCAGAATCTCCATCGACACGATCTGCTCTTCCATGGGCGGGATGGCGGCGCCCGTGCCGTGGCACCCAGCCTGCGTGACGCCCGCTATGCTCTGCTCGCGAATCGACGCGACGTTTTTGAGCGTAAGCCCGTGGGTGCTATATAGGTTCAGTACTAAGGACACGCGCGCAGTGCAAGGAGAACGTACCGCAAGTGCGAGAGCAGGTCGCCGACGACTACGCCACTTTCGATCGTCACTTGCTTCTTCGCGGTGTCAACGTGCAAAATACGGTCAAACGCGCTCATGGTGAGGATTGAGGCGTCCGAGAAGCCAAGACCGTTCGGACTGACGCCCGAGCCCATGCAGCGCAGCTTTTTCTGCTGCGCATGGTGCGCCGCGACTACGACCATGCATCATGATGACCTTTCGCCTCGTCAATGGCTCAATGTACCAATGTCGATAAGCTCCTTGAGCGACTCGGGGTGGTAGACCTTGGTGGGGTGGCACGAGTGCGTCGCCGACCAATTGGTGAAGACCGCGTCGTCGCTCTCGAGGGAGGTGACTGCCATCGCCGACCCCAGCAGGCCGGCAGCACCGCCGAGGCCAAGCGCCAAGGCGCGGCCCATCGTCATGCTTGGGCGAGCAGGTCGCTTGGTGAGCGGCGTCGCGTTGGTGCCATGGAGGCGGCGCAGGAGGCGCTGGGCGAGCTTGGCGCGGGAGGTGAACATCCAGGTCCTTCTTTCTCGGTGAGTGCTCGAAGATTGCGGTCACCATGAAAAAACCTGTCTTTTCAAATACACCAGCCGGTCGTGCCAAATATGCAATATGCGAGGTTTCAAATATCCCAAGAGAGTCTCAATCCGAGGCCAGTCAAGGGTCTAGTGCTGATAGGTGCCCCAAGCTACTTACTTTGGCTACTCGGCGTGGAGCTTGCCTTTGCGCCGGGTATCTGCACTGGAGTATACATCGTCGCTTGCGTACAACCAAGCAAGTGTATGTCGAAACGGAAAGTTCAGCCAACCACTCTGGCGACGGACGAGGCGAGCTTGCCACCTCGAGTGACTCATACCATCTAATTAATGCAGTAATACCAACAGAGCAGCACGCAATCCTACGATGTAAGGGGGAGCTGCATCCTCCGACAACGAACACGACGAACGCTTCTGCATCTGCGCCGTTCTTTCGAGACGTCTCGCAGCCGGGTTCGATCTCGCCGTCCGCTTTCCGGCGAGGTGCCCCTTGTGCGGTACTAATGGTGATCTCACCAGTGCCGTGTTGACATTGCCTGTACCATTTGTGAGATAAGCGAGGTCGCCGCTTCGTAGTACCAATCAGCCGTGCCGATCCTATCTCGGCGCCGCCGCCCGTAATGGGCTACTCCTAACAACCTCGAATGTTGTGCTCAATTACTCGCATGTGTGCTCCACGTCGGTTTTCGCGCGATTCATCACGTCCTTGTGACTTGAGTGATTTGTGCTGCAGCAGCGGCGTCTTATCGACTGGTCGGTGGGATGAGGGCCATGTTGCATTGGGTTGCTGGCGCCAAGGTGGTTTCGCGGACGACCACAACTATCATGGCCGCGGTGCAAGCGCATACAAAGAGCGAGTGAGAAGAGGCAGTAATGGCGTGGCTGGCCGGGAGAGAAGCTCGATTTGGTCAAGTCTTGCATACAAACTCCAAGAGAGCGCCTGGCGGGTGCAAAGAACCAAGCCCCGCCGTGTGAGTAATTGGTCGTGTTCATGGACATTGGCCGATGCCATTTCGCAAGTTGCTCCCGACTCGAGACAGCAAGATGCGTGCCCGGTCCAAGTCGGTCGCGAGCATGGCCGAGTACTTTGACGACGACGACGACGTGCGCTCGTCCTGCAGCAGCGCGCGCTCGAGCACGATGCGCCTCACCTTGGTCGAAGACCTCCTCCTCGAGGACGACGAGAACGACGACGACGTGCCACGCGTCCGCCGGTGCAGCCACGGCAAGCGCATTAGCTTTGACGACGACGTCAAGATCGAGACGATCCCGAGCCGCGACTCGCTCGACGAAGCCACCAAGAAGACGCTGTGGTACACACACGACGAGTTCCTCCGAATGCAGGAGGGCTAACACGACATCGAGAAGATGACGAGGCAACGACGAAGCGAGAGCCGTTGCCGCAGTTAGGGACTAGTAGTATATATCGAGCAGGTTTATTTATTACCATGAATACCAGTACACGACGACGACGACGCCGAATAGCAGGCGTCGGTCGACCGTTCCTCTACCTCTGTCTTGGTGTTGTCGGCTCTTGGTCACCAACTCAAAGCGGTCGAGATGGCGCCGGGTTGTCACCCCGGCGGCTGTCACTACCAGTCTCGGTACCGGGTCTAGCGGCATGGTGTCGTTGGGAAGAGAGGGAAGAGATGGCTTGTCGTTACCCCGAGGGCGTGGTCAGCGCACGCGGTGGACGGGCCGGGTCGTCAGCGGCCCTGCAATTCGAACACGTCGACAACGCACAGCCCTCTAGAGCCGGACCGATCAGATGGGCGTTCGTATACGGTACACAACGGACGGGCGGCCGTCGCGCGCGTGAGCTCAGCGTCCTCCAATTCGAACGGGCAGAGCGAGGGAAGCATGGCCACGAGCCGCTCGATCGGCTTGTTGCGCCGCGCCGGTGTCGGGTCGCACCGACAGAGCGGGCAGCGCCTCGACTGGCGCGTCAGACACGCCTGTGTCGCCATACATGAGTCACGGGCGCGATTACTCGTCGTCACCTGGAGGCACGACTCGCAAAACACTTGGGCGCACGCGTTGCACTCGACGACGGCGCCTGCAAACGTGTCGAGACACACGGGGCACTGGAGGAGGCGACGCGCCGCGCGAATCTGCCGCTTGGCGTCCATGGCCTCGTCATCGTCGTCGTCGTTGTTTGTGCTGCGCTTGGTGCCACGCTTGGTCGGCGCGTCATCCGGCGGCGGCGGATTGCGCTCGGTCGGATGCGCGTCGCTACCGGCGGTCGTCATGCGTGCGTGTCAACGTCAAAGAGAAAGAAGATTGTTGTTGTTCCAAGAGACGCGAGACGACGTCGTTCTGCCAGCTGGAAGAAATCGGTGTTTTCTTTCGCCTCTCAGCCCGTAGAGCTCAGAGCTTAGTGCGAACGAGCGCCCAGAGCTGGTGCCATCGCCGCCAGCGTCGTGGTCCACGCGCACGCACGTGGATGGCGCGTGTGTATCGGTGCTAGTACCGTACGAGTGGTCGCCGTCGACAGCAACAGCGCGACGCAGCCGTCATCACGCTACGAACGCTCGTCGTACGTGGTTGCGCTGCCATCGTCATCATAAATAGCTCGATGCTGCAGCTCGACTTTCTAGTATAAAGGCATATAAAGGTCCAATGTGCCGTATCTAGACACGGAGAGTCTCAATAACAAAAACAAAACATGCGCAGCGTTGAACGCTCGTTGAATGTGCTGACAAATGTGGTATTTCCCAGCACCAAATAACTCTACGGTCGAGCGGTTTTGAACTTCGCGCGTCTTTTTGCTTTTGCGAATATTGACAATCGAAGAATCAAAAAATGAAATAGGCTATAGAACGACATACACCATTTCTTTTGCAAGTTCTTACAACGCAGTCTGAATGTGCTGGCGAATTACGTGTGCGATCTGTATCGCAGTCGGGCGACTCTCGGGTGATGTAGCGATGCACGCTTTGCCCAAGTCCAGCACCCAGGACGGCGTGCTCGTTCCAAACGTTGGTGCAGTCGACCCGCTCATGACACGCGACATAATCGCCGTATCCCCGAGCCGTTGGCCTACAACATATATACCAAGATAAACTAAGATCCGGTGCGATAGTACAACAGTACCTTTCTCGTTGCAAAGATCGTAGTATGGAATCTCGTGCGTGCTGAGCTCTGAGAGCACCACCCCGAACGAGTAGACGTCGGCCGCCGTCGAGTAGTAGCAGTCGTGGAGGACCTCCGGGGCCTACACATTGTTCATTTCTTAGTTCATAGTTGGTTGTAAAGAATCATAGAAAGCGCGAGATACCATCCAGCGAAATGTACCGACACCGATCGTCATGGTCTCGGTCGACATCTCTCGGGACGTGCCAAAGTCGGTGAGTTTCGTACCCTAACCCCAATTTGTAAACCAACCAGGAAGACAATGTTGCACCTTGGTCGAGTCCAGAAGGATGTTGCGGGACTTGAGATCGCGGTGAAGAATGTTCATCGAGTGCAAGTAGACAAGCCCTTCGACAATCGAGAGCATGCATTCGATCTTCTCGTCCCACGAAAAGCTGGCGGACGCTTCGTTCGGAGTGGAGGGTGCTGTCTTGTAGAGGACGGAGCGGAGGTCGCCTCGATCCATCCACTCAAGGACCATCTGCAAGTCGGACGGAATCCGCCAGCTCGCACCGAGCAGCTGGACAATGTATGGACTTTGCATGCTACGTGATTTCTTGAGCGTGCCTTTGAGTAGAAAACGTGACAGTACGTGGACGCCAAGAGAATCTCATTGGCGAGGTTGGCGACTGCGACGCGGGATGCTTTGCCTGGCAGCAGTCCCTTGATGGCCACCG